TTAACTTCTTAATGCTATCAGTGCGTCGTACAGGCATATTTGGGATTGTCTCGGATCTGGCACCTGCAGCATATAACTGCGGAGGTATAGTCTAGAGATTCGAACGTCTGTGAGTACAGTATGTCCTTCTGCAAGGGTTGCACATCCTGGATATTCCAAGGGGTGATTTTCATTTACAGCAGGTAAGTATCAAGCAAACTTCTGCGAGTCATTCACTGCTGTTCTATTTGCTGACTTGAAACAGTAGCAGACAGCACAGTAAGATCCTGGGCACGGTATGTAGATGGTAGTACAGAAAAGCACAACATATCATAACATTATATTATTCACATATTTCACTTAAACAAAGTCCCGCGTTTCTACTACACAAACAGTTACTGTTTCTTGTGAGCATTTTCAAAGTCATACGCCTAGGTCGAGTGACGATGCTTGACCTGGTCTTCCGGCACCTTGACATTCCACGATGACTCCTGGCTATTGGCACCCACATTATCGAACGGGCTGGGTTCAGTTTGACGGTGATCGAGTAAGCAGCTGAATTAGGCAACAAGGTTGCATTGGGCGTCTTCGGTGGCCCAACTGAGACATGCCGAACAGAAGCTACAGGACTTGTTAATCTCCAGTATCCACTAATTGAGCCATCCGCAGCGATTCCCAGTCTAAGATACTCTTGTCTAGTTGAAATGCCATTCTACGGAAGTATTGTAAAATAGGCTCCGGCCAGCTTGAACCAAGTGGGTTTCGAAAGCCACTAGTCATTCGCCCTCAAGGTAGTGCTCTCGGAGAAAGCATCCCCCATACTTGAGACCCCGGAATAGCCAGTCCCATCGATAGTCACAGTAAATCACCCGAACTGCATGGGGGCCAGGATCTTCTGGGCACACCCCTCCCTTCAGTGTGATTTGATCCAGATAATCAAGGTTTGATAGATCGTCCCGGGAGATTGGTAACCAATTATCGACAAGCATTTCCCAGCCTTTAGAGACCCAGACGTGTTTCCTGCAGGGCTTATTGAGTATAGAAGAGGATGTAGAAGACCACAACGAGCAGTTAGTACAGGGAAGCTTGGGGCAAGAATTGCCCATTCACAAGGGCAAAGACTAGGGAACAAGCAACAGGAGCGATCCAGCACATAAGTACTTCGGGCGATCACGGAGTGTCTTACACATACGGCCTGAGCCTTGCCGCCCCAAAAAGACACGCGTGTTGGAACTATGGCGCGATGATTTGGAATTCGCTACCATAGCACTGGGACAGCACCGAACGCCAACGCGTCGCCATGCGATCGTAATTGAGCGAAAGCTATCATGCGTCCTAGACTTATACCCGTCACAGTAGACCAAACTTTAACAAATGAACCCGGTGGTCTAGATCTTCTTTTGTTGTCGCTGGAGCAGTCCCTGAATCGTGTCACAGGCTGCTTTGCCATCGCAATCTACGACACTCTTCTTTGTGGAAGGATCGTCCGGACGTGATCGAAGATGGCCAATGATCGTCTCCATAAAGTGCTCGCCATCTGGTGCCTCAATAGCCTTCTCGCTAGAGGCAGGAGTTTGGCTACCTTGACGGCGTGGCCAGCCACGTTCTGTAACACTTCCACCTGAAAGCTCTTCGCCTCGCGTCGAGAGCTACCCGGGATGTGGTATTTTGGCTAGAACGGCTGTGGTCCGCTCCCACGGCCGCTCAGGGCTGGTCTTTGCTGGAACTAGAAAGGACAACGGCCTGTCGATCTTGGTAGTACGCTATAACGCGGTCTGGACAAGAGCGTAGAATGACCAGGTTGCATTTATGTCACTGAGACAAGTGTGAGCGTTGCATCGGCCTGGAACTATGGGGAAGCTAGAGCTGCCTCAGGTCTGCGTCCGTCCTGTGAGACGTGAGAAAATTAGCGTCTCTGACGCCCTGATCATTTGGGTTCGTTGGAGGTCAGCCGCCGCCTCAGTCGTGATATGACCCCAGCTGAGGGTGTGGGTCTGGCCATCGGACGCGATTGCCAGGCCTCTCGGTGGCTCCAGATTAGCAGTCCGGCCGACTGGTCGATGGCGGTATGGGACTGCGATCTAGAGACACTTGAAATGCCTACCAGCAATCTTGTGGAGACTGTCACTGTCCTCATCGCGAGCTTAGAAGGATGTCGCTGCCAAATGACGAATCTATCATCAACAGCCTTTTCGATGGTCTGAAACTGCGCATCAATATTTGCAACTCCAGCTTCCACTTAAAATCAAAAGTGCATAAGTTTTACTTGTGGAACCAGGAAAGTCCTTGGAAAAAGGTCCAGGGCAAACCTACCGATGAGGATGTGCAGGAGTATACGGCGTCTGACGGGGATGGACTAAAAAGGAGAAGGAAGGGGCTGGCTGAGACAACAGATGCGATCGTGGACTGGATGGACGAACAGGCTCTTACGCTATCCACTCATGCTCCTTCGTACACTGGGGATCTACTATACCAGGGGAGAAGTACTGATCGCATCACAAAAGGTTCGGCATGACGATCTCTACAACATATAAAACCCAGTACGGTAGCAAGGGGTCCTCTCCTGTCGGTCAATAAAGCTAGCCTGTCTTAGGTCATATGCTGAGAACAAGATCCGTCAATATGTACCACCCTCAGCGATAGAAAGACACCAGGACACATTAGATCTACCATATATTGGAATGAGTTGGCAGTATGCTCTGAAATACGTGAATATCCGGTAGTTTGGCTGGGGCAATGTGGTGTGGTTATTACCTGGGGCATGACGGTCCACTTCCTTTTGCTTTAGGGTCAGATGATATTCCAGGATGGGTTCTTCTGTGCAATGCTGGGCATGCCGTCTTCGAGAGAGACATGTGAGAATCGTACATCCAAGATCAAGAGGCTCACATTCGCGCCCTTATTATGTCACGTTCCTCCAATCTTGCACGCCGAAGGCTGATGCGGATTTCATTCGCGTCCAAACATTGTCCTGCCGTAGGCTTTTCAGGACCTAGTCAGTGAGTATCAACACTGTTTCCTGGATAATGCTTTGCTAGTTTCCGGTCGGAGAATATGAGGGTGGGCAATAGCAAGGCCGATTCAACCCCCGCCCCCCTCGACCCTCTTGGGGTATAAAAGCAGTACCTCCGTCTTGTCATCTTGCAGTTGCAGTCGCAGCCGCTCTGTCAAAATCCATCAACTATTTCGTCATGACAGATCTGCGCGCGAAACGCCCACGGACTCTCTGGTTGGGCAGGGATTCATCAACTCGAGCTGAAGAGTCTCGATCATCGACAAAACTGAACACTGAAGAAACGCCAAAACCAAACCCGGCTACCAACAATCGCGATGGTATCACACAATTCAACTGCTACGAAGAGAACCCGTGGAGCGTATACGAACCACGAGCCAAGATTTGTCGCAAGCAACCAATCACCCTGGCCCAGCATCGCAAGCACAGACAGAATGTTGTAAACATCCGATGCCTTCCTATTGACCGACCTCAAGTCCAAGGCCTGTTAGAGACGATCAGACGTCTTTCTCATCCCATATTTCCACGGCTTCTGGAATCGTACTACCATACGGGCGAGCTGCACCTGATTTGGGAGCCGGTAGAGATCACAGTGAACTACATTTTAACTGCCCGGTGGCCGATCAACGAGACCGAGCTGGCATACATTCTCCGGTCGGTGAGTGTCGCTAGCGGCCATTGTGCGACGGGAAGGCATTGGATACTAAACCAAGCAGACCCTTGACGGAATTAAGTTCCTTCGGGATCAGGGAAGAGCATTGGCCATCCTAGAGGCGGAGACGATCCTCTTGGACCGAAGGGGCCATGTCCGCCTTGGTAATTACGTCTCTTTTATCGTCACAACGAACATTGTCAACTAATCTGGCGCACTAGCTGGGGTCGAACAGAGCTACCAGATCTCAGCATCCGATATGAATGCCGAGACGCTGAAAATGACCGCGCTGGCTACAATCACGAGGAGCCTGATAGCCACTGGTGCAGCACAGGGCATATGGAGCTCTAAGGTCCGAGCCTTCCTTGAAAATTTGACCACCAAGTCCTTGGATGAGTTGATGCAGGTAAGTGGGCAGCTAAGAGATGGAACAACAGTTAATAACAGAGTTGTAGGATACATTCCTCGAAACAGCAACGGACGAAAGAGATCTAAAGCTGTGCGTCCATGTTGTGAAGAAAAAAGCCAGAAACGATCTTGTACTACTCTGACCGGTCTGGATCCACGGCATCCACCATCATCTTGACACGTTTGTGGGTGAAGTTTTCACAGCAAACCTTTAGGAACCATTCAAGCTGACAGCGTCCTTTATGTCGTTATTCACTTCCCTTCGTGAATAGTTGGTTGGTAACTCGTGTAAGCCATAACTGCTGCAAACTTGTTCCTACATTCAGAACACTACCAGACATCAATTAGGCTTGATCCCGCAATATAATCCCTCATATATATCGGGTCTACATAGAGATTTGAGAGGTCGAGACACGCTGGGTATCAGGAGGCGTACTCTTTGACGATCACGGCAGCAAGTGAGATGCACCGGGACACCCGTATCCAGCATCTCACGCCACGTAACGGCCTACATCAGTTTCTTCTCAGCACCAGCTATGTCGTAGACGGACTCAGAGATCTTCCTGGTGCCCCAGCTCTGGAGAAAGTGCCCTCGCGCCGAACGATAACTCCGTGACAAACTGTTTCATTCACCAGCTCTACCAGTAGCTTCAGGACTCCTGCCCCGGGCACTTGTCCAAAAGGTTCGTGCTTTCCGGTCACCCGGCTGGCATGGCCGGCTCAACTGAAAGTCAGAGATACGAGCGCCCGTCCCCGTGTCCAAATACTTTCCGTAGATGACCCCCACGTCGCTACGGAGTATGCTCACTGAATTCTGTATAGTAGAGAGTGTAAGGAAACTAGTGCAATTATATGGTCTACCTACAGCCGCCATGGGCATTTCTTTGGGTGAAAGCACGACATGTCCCAATGACCACAAAGGATAACACAACAAGGCCAGGTGAAGGAAGAATTCTCCGACTATTGTTTGTGGGGAATTGTGAAGGATAGCCGGACATTGATCGCTACGTCAGGGAAAGTGTAACCGCAACTCTAAGGATGGACATGCCAGCCCTCGAGAAGCCCAGCCTTGGTTTGCTCGGGATTATAGGCTTGCTAGTTCACCTGATTAACCAACAGCTTGTAGAGAATAATCTGGGGTATTGGGTTGGTCTTGGAGGCTTACAGGTCGACTAGTTTGGCCGATGAGGGTGGTGCGCATGGTGTGGTCTGTGAAGACGCCGGCCCCGTCTTTTGTTCGATTGATCTAGACAATACTTTAGTGAACTTTGCGTCAAGCGAACCCCAACTCACGCCTCATAGCAAGCTCGGTATGTTCCCAACACGGAGGGCTTGATGTTTAGAACAGACTTCCGGGTATTGGTCAGCCCACTACATCCAGATATCAATTGTCGTCTTGCATTGCTATACCATCCGACCGTCCCACGACTCCGAATCCCCTTGGTGAATCACAAGTCCCAAATCTATGGTCTGTCAATCCCAACCACCCGGGATATTTTCAAGGGTTGGGTCGTTCGCGTGCTCACCGTGGCGGTAGACAATGCCCATACAGTCAAAACTATGGCAAGAAGCATGACTGAGTTTGGGGGTAGAATTCTGTATACTTTCACCAGCTACTGTCCTTGGCGGAGTGGCGCCAAGAACAATCGAGGAAGAAGCTCATGCTCACCATAAATATTGCCCAATTTGCTCGTTTGGCAAATGCGCAAGCTACACCGTCTATCATTCTGAAAGGAGATCAGGATCCGTTGCGTGAGATGCGATCGGTATGTCCGCACTTTTTGCAGTCTGGTCAATTTGCTCGACATCCCGACAACCACATTTGTGGTAGGGTTGGATTGGAAATAGGTTTTGTTGTTGGGTGGAATGCTGCTGGCGGGACGAATTCTCATTGGTCAAATCCGCGCGGAAATATTAATGCCCGGCACGGCCATGCTCGACCTTGAATCATTGAAAGGAGGCATCGGAGGCTGGGCAAATTATCAACCTGCTGACCTGGGTTTGATGAGCGATCCCTTAGAGTGGGTAATTTTTCTAATTTTGGCGCGCCTGTTGATTTTGTATGTGTCTCGTGGAGTTACCAAAAGCCGATTGTGCCGGACACGCTGGAAAAGCTAGTGTTGGTCATGTTATACTCCGTATATATATCATTGACCATTTATATACGAAAAGTATAGACCATTGATGCGCATGATTACAATCGCGAGCGACGAGGCTCACATATGTAGTAACGTAGAACAATAGTATATACAAATTCCAGTATACCCATGTGTCGGTCTCGTCGCCTTACGCCCTAGGCCCAAAGATCGAAATCCGAGGGCAGAATAGTCCTTCGGTGCGCATTCGGAGTCCCACGCGGGCATCCAAGTTGAACCCCTGGACAGCTTCTTCAAAAGAATTAGTTCCGGGCCTTCCCGAGCCAGAGCAAATGTTGATGGCAACAGCGATCAACCAGAGGGACTGATCAGAAGGCGGTGAAATGGCGCGCCCGCCTGGGCAATCTTGTATATCTGGACAGATCAATGCCCGCACAGATTGCCCGGAGAAGACGGCATCGCAAATCATTTGACCATTCCTACTCGGTGATCCTTTCATCATGTTTTACCGGTAGTCCCTCGCCATTCTTTACAGTAACCCTATATTCACCATTCGGTGCCTCTTTACCTCCTCTCCCTTCCTCCCTCCTTTTTTACCCGCTCTTTTTTCACCCATCCCAATGCCCTACCCCTGGTCGGCAGTTTACCGGATCTCCCATCGACCGCGATCAGGGACCTCAGAAGGCGATCATCACATGCTTAAAGACGCATGTCACACCCGGCCTGGTTAATTGCTCAGCATGGAGCCGAATCATGCTGCGCCAAAGTCAAACCAGGATTGGGAATCCGGGTTTTGATGCGCGGCGAGAAGCCGTCCGAATGACTGGGCATTTTGTGTATTAAATTGACCAGCGAGCACCAGCTAGCATCAGCAAGCACAGGCAGGGATTTCTGCGTCAGCCGAACACAACTAAACTCTGCTTACACTAATAAAACTCACCACGAGAGCTAGATCGGTAGTCTTGTCGGATGATCTGCCCCGTTTCCGAGCCACCGGGCTCCCGGGTTCCCATATTTCGGAGTTGCCCAGGTCTCGCTGGGTTGCCTCATTGTTCTGGCACAGGATATACTACAAATGGGGTCTATTCTCACTGAGTACTGTATCCCCACAATCCTCTTCCGATGTCGGAAGTACAACGGATCGCACTGCTACAATGTTCTCGTACTCAGCGGGGCAATCTCTCCCTCTGTCTGGGCGGGAGATCGCCTTCCGATGATCAGCAATGGACGCCGAATTTGGAGGCAATACGAGCCTCAATCGGATTTGCGATCGCCACAGGCCGACTCGACGCCATCTAACCACATCGACCAACTCAATGACACTCTCCCCCTAACTCAACTACACCAGCCACCTTGCGCCACAGATGGTAGACGCGCTTCAACTGCCGAGGATAGGATGTTGAACACTTGAAGAAGCGCCTTCAAGCCAGTCTATCAACATAAATACTAACCCCCAGGGATTCCTATGATATTGACAGCTGAGAGGACATATACTGAATGGTTCTTTGTATGGGCTCGAAGGAGATACAGCAGATGTACATTAGAACCTGTGTTGATAAATCGGTGATAGTTGCCCTTTCGGCTGAGCCGCCGGGCGTTAATGAATTGTGTGTGTGTGTGTGTGTGTATCCCCACAACAGAGTCGGGGCAGAATTCTCTGAGTATACAATACGCTGGTTCGGAATATACTAGTTCGGATCAGACTGCATCTGAGTACCTGCCGTCGTCTTCGGCGGTAGAATCGCCTGTCGCCAAGGGCCCCCGAGTGACCACCCGATCAGTTTCTGGATGTGCGCCATCATCTTCGCATCCACACCGGCAGGAAACTCCGGACTCCGATGCAGACGGCCACACATCCGCCGGACGAAAGCGAGTTTACAGGCAGGTCCCATCGCCACCTTCATCTCATCGATCTGCAACCCCAACGGCTACGCAAGAGAACACAAGTGGGGAGACTCATCGACATGTAGCTCAATTTTGCACGCAGCGGTGCCTTTTGGGTCTGCAGCAGGGTAGCGCACTAGATCCTCGCTGTCCCAACACCGCGCTCCACCGCTCTGGCAGAGATAGCGACCGACACCCGATCGATGTGGGGGCCTTGGTGAAGATAGTTAAGGAGCAGCTTGACAGGGATCTATATTATAATTTCACTCCGATGGGAGTTCGCGGGGGTTAGAGTGCCGCTTTCAAAGTCACTTGTGCCGCGCACGGATACACTATTGTCGGTAAAGCGACCACGTCGCGACGTTGGAAGTGTCGCGCGAAGTGGACATTTATCGTATCCTTCATCGCGCACAAGGATCTGCGATTCCAGTTTTCCTTGGAGCCATCGACTTGGCCAAGGTCTACTTCCTGCACGGCGCAGGAGATATACGGCACATGCTCCTTATGGGCTGGGGCGGTGAGGATTTGAAGCCATGCAAAGCCCGAAAGGTCTCTCGATCGTGCGATTTCACGGTCGTTGAACGAGATACGGTCTCTAGGTGTCATCCACGAAGATCTCCGGCCAGAGAATATACTATGGAATGCTGGACTATATCGTGCGTTAGTTATTGATTTTCATCGATGCGCGCTAGATCAGCAGCCCACGTACAAACGGCCAGGGTCTGTCCAACGGCGCCAATGTGGGCCTCAAGAACGTGAATGCAAGAGAGTACGCGTGTCTTGAGTATCCCTGTTATGCACTTGAGGTCCCGGGAAAGTACGATCGCCAATTACTAGAGATGGCCTACCTGTAGACGATGAGTGCTGTTGTGACAGCTGACTGTGCGGCTCTATCATCAAATTTTCCATGGGGGCGTCATAGCTAGGGCAGCGTTGTGTTGAGTGAGTCCCGGGCTACCGCCGTAATCAGCCCGATATGAGGGAGGAGCTTATACTGTATCTAGGTCCCACGTGTGTTGGATCGAATGGTGACCGAACGCGTGATAGAGCACAATGTCCGCGCATGCGCCACCAACCGTTGCAGGATAACGACGAGGCAACTCTTCCCAGACGGCCTGTTAAAGTCCCTAACTGCTTCTCTTCATATACGAATCCCAGTCATTGGTGCAGTATCCATCGGCTCCTCTGCTCTGGGACGGCTCGGCCAAATAGCTATGCGGTAATGCTCTGGCTGTTTTGAATGGCGCATGGAACCAAACAGAGATACAATAAGTGTCATTTTTGCGATGATTAATCTGCCTCATTTCAAAAGTGTACTAGCATATCCTTGGCACAGTGAACGGTAGACAGAGCAACAATTTTGAGGGGTATCCTGGCTGCTTTCTATTTACTCATTGCACGGTACAACAGCCTTCGTGTATGGTATATGATCAAAAACGGCATCTGCCGTCCAGCTCTCCCAGCCAGTCTGCAGGTTCCTCCGTTCTTGAGCCGCCCTGCATAAGCCAGAAGCCGTACTGCAGGGCTGCGTAATCATTGTTACACTGTAGCTTAAGATCCAGAAGACCCGGATAAGGTAGCATAGTAATGTGATGTGATGCTGTATTTCTAGTCGCGATGGGACCATTATCGTCGTACCGGGCAACGGAGTGGGTCAGGTGACGATGACCATCTCCAGCATCTCCCCACATCTCCTGCCCGCCCTCCATCTTCAACCTAATAACAACGTCGTTACGAGATTCATCGCATCGAAACCATCGCCATATTCATACTCATGTCAGTTCATAATTCGAGTGATTAGACTCAAAGAGTGCAGAGTCGGGCAATTCCATCGCTACGAGCATAACCGTCTGGCCCTCAAGATAGCAGTGTCCACCAAGGCAAAACACAGCGGCAACTTTCTCTGTTCTCCAACGGACAGGCTCTCAATGGCTGAGCTATTCCGTCTTGAGCACACGGTACCAGCCAGTATGTTGCTACTGCTACCCTCTGTTGACCATGACTACCGATTCTGGTCGGCCTGATTGCATGTAGAGGATCAGCGGTTCTCCACCCTAGACGAAAATTGGACCCTTCCGTTTTGGCTTTATCCACCGGTAGAGTAATTCGGAAGGTCAAGTTTCATTATTTACCCCTGTGCCAGGGGCAGTATCTCCAGGACCACAAATTGCGAAAATCGCAGAAGATCTGCCACCACGCGTCGAAGCGGGGAATTATGCGAGAACGGAATCAGGGAAAAAGCAGCGGTCCCATACCTGGAATAGGCAGTAAAAAAGATCCTGGCGGTGGAGCTGGAGGCTAGACAAGCCCCCAATAAACCTTATTTGAGCGTGCCGGTCACCGTTGCCCAGGGAATGATTAGACTCGGGTCGGCGAGACAAGAAATTCGCCCAGCCGGCACAGTGCAATCTCATTCGTCCACGGCAATGTCTCACATGGAGCCTTGTGCTACTAGGTCACGCTCGGTCTCGTGCCCCGATGATGTGGAGACCAGAAATCATCCAGGGCGCAGGTGAATTTGCATTCTCATCGAGGGTTCGCTCTCTTCTTTATTCTGAGGGGAAAGCGTGGGCCCAATCAAAAGCCCTGATACAGAGTAATGAAATTCGAGGTTTAGTGGTGCTCGGTGATCCGAATCTGTTTCATTGAGTTACATGGGGGCTTTCTCCGTTCTGGATAGTCTAGGAGATCAGAAGCTCCCCAAGGGTTTTTGAAACATTTGACATTCTCGCACATGATACGGGATATGACGACATGGGCAACAAATAGCGGTTTGGTATAGGCAGAGGTGCTGTAGAAACTGGAAAATCCGACGAAAGAAGGAACAGGCAATCATTGTGCTCTGTTGGGCCATGGTTGCCCGACTGTTTCCAAGTGGCAAAGCCCACTTGTGCAGACCTGCAACCCGTTTTCCAAGTATCTCTGTGCACTTGAGACGTCCATTGACCAACGGCGCGGCGGTCCTACGAGTCGCACACATCTTCGCCCTGCCCATGCCCACGCCGAACTTTTTCCCAGTCGGCGTCTTTAAATGGGGCCCTCACGTCTTCAAGCCAAAGCCTGAAAACGTGCATGGTCATTTGGGGAGGTGGCTTCGGGATTTGCTCTTCGTTTAAGGTCAGCATATGCCCCTGGGCAATTGGTAGGAGAGAGCACACGCAGAGATGACCAGATACCCATCCCGCACTTTAACGACCATTGGAGTTCATCTCGACCGCATGCCGGTCCTGGTACTTGAAGTCGGCGAGGCTGGATGCTAGTACTACACAGTTGGTCTTGCCGGGCGACCGGAGCGCTTGGAGATATAAGGCCGGCGTCTCCCCGTCCTGTTCACTACAGGACCAGGCTTCCTGTCCTCAGTCACTGGAATGCGCAAGCGCAACAGTGTGCGCCTTCACAGGAATGGCGGGCCTGTGTCGTACGATCTCCTCGGAGATATCCCCTGACAGGAGTGGTGGGCCTGTTTAGTATCAATCTCCTCGGAGATAGCCCCTGACAGGAGTGGTGGGCCTGTTTAGTATCATTCTCCTCCGGAGATATCCCCTGACAGGAGTGGTGGGCCTGTGTCGTATCATCCCCTTCATGGCCATGGGCCCCATGTCGTATCACCTGTGCCCTGGACCGTTCCCAGATGAACAGGTTCTTTCTGTTCTTAGGACCCCGTTCTGAGACACCCCAGCTATGGGCAGCCACCTCTACGCGGTGCTGGAGACTAGTACTTGCCAGAGTATATCCACTCGTCATGCCGCAAGGAAGCCAAGGTCTGCTCGCGCCATGCCGCGGTTCTTACCAGCATTGGTGCAATATCGTGCATCACAGGCAGAATGGAGGCCCGTATGGAACGGAGGTCCGTATCCGTGAATGCCCGCTGCCAGTCATGTACAATAGTTAGCTTAACTTTTATGGTACAATGTATACAGTATTCCCTCGGAATAAATTCCATCTGTAGTATATCCTGGTCCTGAATAACGCAGAGTTTGACGTCGCGAGTCCTGGGTAACTCCCTCCGGACCGCTTCGGACAAGCAGTCTGCGAGTCGGTGTATGTCTGGCTAACCGGTTGCTTGTTGCATACTGTATGTACTCAACGTTCACGTTCGGACGCCTTCAGATTATGGTCCGCCCGACAGATACCGACCTTGGTGACGGGTCATGCATAACAGGGCCTTGGAGATTGCCCATCTTGTCACTGCGTGGGGCGGAGATCTTGCAACAATGAGGCACCCCAGCGACACCTGGACAAAACCAAAATTGGGGAATCCGGGAATCCAGGAGCCGATGGGTGGGAAACGGGCAAATCGTCGGACAAGACTACTGTACTGTTCTAGCTCTCGTCATGAGCTTTACGATAGTGTAATGACCAGGTAGGGTTGTGTTGTGTTCGGCTGACGCAGAATTTCCCGCTGGTGCTTGCTGGTGCTCGCTGGTCAATTTTTTACACACAAAATGCCCAATCATTCCGACAGCTTCTCGCCGCGCATCGAAACCCGGATCCCCCAATCCTGCTTTGACCTTGGCGCAGCATGATTCGGCTCCACGCTGAGGATTTGACCAGGCTAAACGTGATCATGCGTCTTTCGGAATGTGATGATCACCTTCTGAGGTCCCTGATCGCGGTCAATGGGAGACCCAGTGGGGACCTGGTAACCTGCAGACCAGGGGTAGGGCAAATGAAGCGGGTCACAAAGGGGAAAAAGGAAAAGGAAAAGATAGAAACAAAGGGGGCAAGTTGGGGAAGTGAGGGAGATGAGGTAAATAGGCAAGGAATGGTGAAAGTATGGTCAAAAGATGGCGAGAGATGGGAAAAGATGATAAAGGAATCGCCGAGTAGACACAGTCAAATAATTTGCGATGCCATCTTCTCCATGGCAATCTGTGCGGGCATTGATCTGTTACAGAGAAAGATTGCCCAGGCGGGCGCGCCATTTCACCTCACCGCCTTTTGATCAGTCCCTCTGTGTTGAGTATCATGGTGGCTGAACCTTACGGCAGGGACTGGGAACAGATACATGTATGTGCTATCCCGCCCACATAAAAGAGAACTCCTTAAGTCAATCAATAAGAATCAATCTATTCTGACCTCAACACTCCGATCGATTTTTGTTGCCCCGGGCCATCAACATTTTCTGATGCTCGGGTAGGTCCGGGACTAGTCCTTATGAGGAAGTTGTCCAGGGGTTCAATTTGAAGCCCGCCTAGGGAATCCGAATGCGCACCGAAGGAATATTATGTCCTCGGGTTTCAACCACTGGGGCTTAGGGCGTAAAGCGAAGAAACCAACACATTGGTATACTGGCATTTGCATATACTATTACCTTAGGCTACTACAAATGTGAGCTTCGTCGCTCGCGATTGTAATCATGCGCATCAATTGTCTATACATTTCGTACATGAATGGTCAATGATAAATATAACATGACCACCATTAGCTACTCCGACGTGTCCGGCACAACCGGCTTTTGGTAACTCCACGAGACACTTACAAAATCGAACAGGCACGCCAAAATTGAATATATTGCCCACTCTAAGAATCGATCATCAAAATTAGCTCAGCAAGTTGATAATTTGCTCAGCCTCCGATGCCTCCAGTTTCAAATGGTGCAACGTCGAGCATGGCCGTGCTGGGCATTAATTTTTTCCGGTCGGATTTGACCAATGAGAATTCGTCCGGCCAGCGGCATTCCACCCCGACAACAAAACCTATTTGCAATTCAACCCATACCAATAATGAGGTTGTATCGGGATATCGACCAAATTGACCAGAGTGCAAAAAGTGTGGACATATCGATCACATCTCTGATCTCACGCAACAGATCCTGATCTCCTTTCAGAATGATAGATGGTATAGGTTGCGCATCTGCCAAAGAACAAATTGGGCAACATATATGGTGAGCATGAGCTTCTTTCTCGATTGTTCTTGGTGCCACTCCATCAAGGATAGTAGCTGGTGAAAGTATACAGAATTCTACACCCAGATTCAGTCATGCTTCTTGCATGGTCATGACTGTATGGGCATTGTCTACCGCCATGGTGAGCACACGAATGGCCTTGAAAGTATACGGGTGGTTTGAATTGTCAGACCATAGATATGGGGACTTGTGATCCACCAAAGGGATTCGGAGTCGTGGGACGGTCGCGTGGCATAGAAATGCGAAACGACAACTTCTTTCTAGATGGAGTGGGCTGACAAATGCCAGGAAGTTCGTTCTAGCACATCAAACCCTCCGTGTTGCGAACCCACCGAGCTTGTTATGAGGCGTGAGTTGGGATTCATTTGACGCACCTTCACTAAAGTATTATTTAGATGAATCGAACAAAAGACGGGGTCGACGTCGTCACAGACCACACCAAGCGCACCATACTCATCGGCCGAACTAGCCGACCTGTAAGCCCCCAAGACCAATGCAAGACTCCGGGATATACCTCTACAAGCTGTTGGTTAAGCCGGTGACTAGCAAGCCTTTGACCTCGAACAAATCAAGACCGGGCCTCTCGAGGGTTGGTAAGTCCCTTCTTTGAAAAACGATAACCCTTCCCTGGCGTAGCGACCAGCTTCCAGCCATTCTTTCGCAATCCCCGCCAAACGGCCATAAAAGGAAAGAGAAAAGGAAATAAAAGCAAAATCATTCCTTCGAGTTGCCCTGTTGCGTTCACTATCCGGTCATTGTACCAGTCGTGCCAGTAAGGCTGTCAGTGTGGGCCGCTCGTGTAGGGAGGTAGAAACTCTATTCCACCCCTCAGTGACTTGAAATTTTTGGCAATCAAGACAGCATGATAGATGTATAATTGGCACATAAGCATGGTCTTATCGGTTATTCAAAAACCCAACTGCAGATGGAGTATTGTTCGGTAGCATTACAGATAAGCTTTTGGAATGAAGCATGCCATCACATCAGATGCCTTAGACCATAGTATAATGACATTACAAGCACCGTTGACGTGACATCATGATCACCAAGCTTGAAAATCCATACCACGCCCCTAACATCTGTTATTCTTGAGGAGTCTATGTCCTGGATATATCTGTCTCTGTAAAAGGCATACTGTGTGAATGGCTTTCCTTTGTGACAAGAAACAATTCCCCGCATCCTTTCAGGGGAGATAATTATAGTAGGTGAGCGTCGTAGTTCAGGGTCCTTTCGTAGGCTGGTCAGATATGTTTCCGAGAGGTTATGGACGTTCAATGTAAATCCAGAAGTAAAGCGAATCTCGTTTGATGAAGTATCATAGGTGTGCTCATTTAGACAGCTCCTGAAAAGCTCCCAAGTTGGTATCTCTCCAGTGCCATCCAGAAGAACAAGTGTCATGTATTGATTCTCACATCCTCCATGCTTCGTATTGGATATCATTTGCCTAAGTTTTGAGCCGATCAATACTAGTTTGGCGTGAGCGTCTGTCACCTCTTCAAGCCATCTGTCATTCTTGAAAAGTCTAGACCAAAGTAGAGACTGCTGTCTGTCTGATTCCCATGGCTCCATGTCGAGACTAGACAGTATACCAACTCGAGACAGGGGTGGCACGAAGAAGAGAATACGATCAAGCACTTCTCTTGGAAATTTCATGGTAGGAGCTTTCGAAATGTATCTTTGCATATTGTTGGCTGGGTGGCTTGCCGCACCCCCACGGTTTGTACCCGACTCTTCCGCCTGCTTTGCTCTTTGCAAAATGTCCAGTAGACATGGCGTGGGCGAACGGTTTGGAGTTCCTATAGGTAGCCCTTGCTCCCAGTTGTTATAACGTGCCTCCTGTTTCTCCCAGGCCTGCGTGATTTTTGACGTAGCCAGTTCCTCATTGGTTAATTCGATGAGATCTGTTCGTGTGATCCAATTGGTGCCACCTCGGCATAAGTGTTTGTCTTCCTCCTTGATGTTAGTCCACTTGAGCTTGACATAGGTCGTTGGCGCCTTAGAGGTTTTCGTAATAGGGAGCCTCTCCAGAATGGCTACACCAACAATCCCTCCGATATTCTCGGGGCCATAGCGACGGTGCTTTATGCCCCGTTTGTCTCTGTCCATGATGGAGCAAAGCCGCGACTTTGAATCGGACACTTGCTGAAGACCATCGAAATTGTGTCCTTTGCCGGATTGGATGACATACTTGCCCGCTCGCTTTGGCCCGTATCGAACAATCAGCTTCTCGGCTGCGAGCATCATGAACCACGCATCTGCAACGCCGTTCGAGTGGCCATCCTTTGATAAATTATCTAATCGGACTAGCAATCCAACATCGTTATCGTCGTCCAGATGCGAGCTTTCGTCCCAATCTGGTCCTTCGACGGATGCAATTGCGGTATCGGGATCAGGAAGTGCTGTTTTTTTACCATGTCCATGCCCCTGCCCATTGGACGCATCCACTGGTTCCTGCTCCGCCGCCGTCTCATCTCCACTTGGGGACAATGTGTGCTGCGGCACAGGCTGTGATGGTATCGATGACGCGCGATTATCGGGGGCGTGGCCATTGGAACCTGACGCAGCATGTTCCTTCGTATCAATGTCCATCAAATCTCCGTCATCTTTCTTGATGTCCGCTTCCGTAGATTGGATGACTTGTTGAAAGCTGTTGCGCTTTTCCTGCAGCTCAGCCCTCTCATCCTCGGTAAGCTGCGAGCCTTTCAATTGGCTCTCCGCCGCTAGCAAGTCCTTCCAAAGTGACTCTAGCTCCTGCTGGCGCTGTTTCCGCTTGTCTTCAATTTTCCTTTTCTGGGCGGCAATTTCATCTTTTTTGGTGTTTTTGTTGACACCAGAAGGTTTTGAAATATCCTTTCCTGAACGTGTGTTGGCCATGTCTGCTACAGCCAACGAAGTTCGGTGGATGGATAGATGATAGGAAACACAGTCCGGACACAGAGGATTTATATCTTGTCTACTAGCTGCTTTAGCGTAAGATGCGAACTAAAGCGAATGTAAGAGACAAATAGGTATTCCCTTATGATTTCTGAGGCATACAATAAACTGCGGTGCAGTGAGATTGAATAACAGAAGCGTCTCAGGAACTCTCTCAAAATGGCGGGGATTGGGCCTGCATCGTTCATAAAGCTTGTCAGTGTAAATCATTAGAGTTTGCGGGCTTCGACATATGAAACTCAAGTCCTTTCCCGCGGATCAAGCTACTGTAACATCGGTTCGACCATAGGACTGTATACTAATTGCATCTAGTATCAGCGGCAGCACAGCTGTAGCCTGCTCGCATGGCACTGCCGGGACTGTGCTTTGAATTGGAGGAACGCCATCGTCTTCCAAGTTCTGAGATGGAAGGTCACGGTGGTCAAGGTTGGGGGCACTCTCGTTGGCATTGTGGTTCGCGAAAGTTCTATCTACCGTGGGATCTTCCCCCCAGATAGCCATGATGTTAATGCTCCGGGTCTGGCTGGAAAGCTCTTGTTGGGCGATATCGTAGTGGGCTGGGAAGGGTTGCTGTGTATGTCTACTCACTCTCTAACAGCAGCGTGGTCTTATATAAGTGAGATTGGCGTGCCACGGCTGATATTCTCGTTTAAGGCCACGAACGGGAGACGGAATAAGCGGGGCTGTGGGCTCATAGGGGCCGCTCTTTACTAAATTGTGATGGCGCCTTCTTGCGGATGCTCATTTGTGTGATAACCTGGAGATACAAAAAGGGGCAGGTACCCGGCGAGAACGAAGTGTGCCCGCACGTTTTGGTTGGTAGTTTGCTGCAGCATTAATAAAAATGGTCGCTTTTGCTCTGGCGAAAAAAAGTTACCTAATATCTCTATCAATTTCCTTCAATTTCCGTGGGAGCCAAGAGAGTTTCTTCATTGCTGACCTGGCGAGTTCGACGCTGCCTCGATGATTGGAATGCTTCTTGTACATGGTATTGAAGATCGCTTAATGCTTTTTCAAGCTGCATACCACGCCGTGCTCCCTGAGAAGATCATTTTCTAGCTGCATGCATTTCATTTTCCAGCCTTCGGATATGTCGGAGACCTCCGTGACCCTATTTTGGACGCGATCGAGCTCCGCTCGCTGTTAGTTGTTTTCTCGTACTAAACGCTCAATCCTCGCAATGAACGACTCATCATTATCCGAAATCGACGGACGCCGAAAGAAAAGGATAAGCAGATAGTCTCCTCGGCTCGGCACATTATCCAACACATTCCGCCCCGTTCTTAGAATACTCATTATACGATAGCAGGTAGCCTATATACGATTCCACGGGGGAAGGCGGGCATGTCCAAGCGAACGGTGCGGCTGCGTGACAGCCGGACGGGGTTCAGTGTCAGAACAGTCATGCAGAGTATTTGGGATGAATGCTATGTACCACTCTAGCTCAATCATCTTCGGTCTCTTCTAGTAGTACTTCCGTGTTGCCTGTTGCCTGTTGAACCTATTCTTCTGAGCAGCTGACCCGGCAATTTGGTCCTTGCATCGAAATTCGTAGTCTTTACAGCTGCACACCTGCTTTCTTGAGCATTCACCATGATGGCTGAAATATGCACTCCTATCTGGCCAAAAGGTTGGTTGGCTCGTCCAACAGCCAATAGGAAGGGCACCACGAGCGGCAGGATGCCCCACCGTTCGGGACAATGATCGCGGAGAGCTAATTTGCGGTCGCGTGTCTTGGTCTTGACGTGTTACTGCCTCGTGCGATCGCAAATGTGGTATATTAACCGCCACAGCAGATCGATTTTGGAGGCTGCATTCAACGACCGACACGGCATTTCATTGTCTTTCTGGTCCTCTGCACCAAGGAAGGTTGTCAATACATCGAACTGTTTCGACCGTCGCATGGGGCATGCTCTTACCGGGGTGATCCCGCGGATCTTTACGAACCCAATGCGTCTCAAACTTGCGACGTTGCGCACATTTAGCTGGGGACTGGACAGTCGATTTCGGACCCTGAGTCGACCGGGCGGTCTGGCCGTAGTTCTGCGGAGGGGCGACGCGTGTACAGTATGTGGCATAAGCGCCTGAGACGCTTCCTATCCATTTGGTGGTGATCAACTAGTTTCTAAGACAGGATTAGCACACACCGAAAGGCCCAATAAGCCCAATTCGAGTGATTGCCAAGCGGACGGTGGTCTCTGATGGTGGCTCCTCCAATGAGTACCTAGTGCTGTGGTATTCCTGGGAGGCTGGAGAGGCAGCGTTGGAGTTTGTTGGGGCCTGGACTACTCGACCATATCATTCGCCATCAGCCCTCCAACCTATGATGGACTACTTACAGACGTATAGTTGGCTGACCACTACTGGGCCAGCTCGTGCTGGACGGGCTCAGCAATACGCTCCTTGCCGGCAAAAGCATTATCACCTCAATATGATTTTTCTTTATCTTTCGCACCTTATCTCAGCGACATTCTAACTTCATGTGGAACACACCTAGATCAACGACATTCCTGAATTACCAAATAGACACAAGGAGTAGGACATAGTTGTAGGTAATCCGCATATCGCTTCATTTTGCAGGGGGTCAGGATAAACAATATAATCCATTCATCCATCCATCCAACCGTAGAATAGTATGACCCTGTTTCTTTCATCCATCGCATTCTCCTATACACGGTAATGTAAAGTAGTAAGGATGGTGATAACTGAGATTGTGACTAACTACTGCGAGTTGTGGTCGCTGCTCTACACCCTTCGTTTCTTTCGGGACGGGGATGGCTCGACGAAACGAACCCGTTTAACACCTCGCGGACAATAACACATCCTCTGCGGCGGCCACTGGTCGCTTTGGTGATCGGACCGCCCAAATACAGCATCGGCTTGCTGCTGGTGGAGAAACTGCCGAACAGTGGCTGGAAACCCGCCGATTGGCTGCTGACCCGATGAGCCTTTGAACATGATCGATATTTCTTCATCCAGACTTGCCACGTGGAACCGTACTCTTTTGCGGTAGTATCCACAGACCATACATCCATCATCATCGTCCGACCGACCCAAGTGCTCCCCGCGGCCGGTCTGCAGCTCTGCGCCCGGAAATACCACCAACACGCGCTCTAGAATCCGCCGTGGCTCGCGGCGCGCACATAGGACCGAGCCCCGGCAAAGGTATTGGCCTTGTGCCCTCATCGGGCCTTCGTCTAATTCAAAGAAGAAGCATGTGGCGAGCACTGCTCGTACTAGTTCGTCTGGGACCGTGTACGGCTCCTTGGCGAGGTCTGCAACCCTCATCACATCGTCCAGTCGTGGTAGATCCGCCAGAGCGTGGTCCAGCCGGAAGATACGGGTTCGGAGGGGATGGGGTACATGATTCAGTCCCTCCTTGAAAGCTTCTACACCGTCCATACAGGGGGAGGAGTTGTACGCGCGCCACAACCGGAAGGGTGCCTTGTCTTGTAGGGAGCTGCAACCATGCTGGGCTGGATCGGTTTCCTTCCTGGGTGATGGGACATATCCCGTGCCCACGGATAACAGTAGGTCGTGTGTTTGCGCGGATGGCCAGATGATTCGACATTCCTCCTGAGCAATCCCGTGCGGGTTGTTGGCACGGACGCCTCCATCCTGCAGAACGCCGATTCCGGACAGGCGCTTGGATCGGTAGAACCTACGTCGGGTCAGCAAGAGACGAACTGCTGCGAGATTGGGATGGTCTCCTACCAGGGAGCTGCAGCACTGCACTCCAGGCTACTTTTGTCAGCTTCATGAATAGTAACTCGATACAGAACCTCGACATTCCGGCGCTGCGACAAGATGTACGGGAAGAACACCAAAGGGAGACCGAATAACTCACGCTTCGGGTAACAACGGATTCTGGCTTGCGCCGTGCGAGACGATCCTTTGGTACGCTGTGTCAACAGCCCTGTGTCTCACGCCACGGTAATTAGGGAAGACAACTGGCTTTCCATCAGAGGTACGGCTTGCGACGATGGCGAGACGACGTCCTGCTGCCATTGGCGGCATCACGTCAAACACCCGGCGCCCCGGCTGACAGACCTGTTGGAGTGTTCGCTCTAACGCACCTGAGTCGTAGGCACCATCTCGCACGAGATTCAGGGCGCAGCCCAACCAAGGCCATACTCGGGAAAGGGAGTAGCCGGGCTGGAATATGCATTGCGCCAAGTCGGGAAATCTTCGACATGCTTCTGCGGCCGAGGTGTTGTTGTAGACCTGATCGGTTCCGATAACGGAACCTGCTCGCGGCGAGTTAGCCATCATGCAGGAGATCGTTGCATCCAAAGTCATACAGACGGGCCATGACAGGAGAAGAGTGTGCAACTTACCGACACTGGTGCCCGCGGTCAGATCCGGGATCTCCGGCAGCGTGATGGCGCCGGCAAGCCGTTGCTCCAGCGCTCGCAAAAGGCCTAAGGTGACCATTCCCCGAATCCCGCCTCCATCGAGAGCCAGCACGACTGGGCGCTTGGTCGGCGGTAGTTGCCGGACAGACAGCTGGAGAGAGCTCTGACACAGGGGACACTGGGCAAGGTCTCGGTGGTATTCCACGCCCCGGGTCCGCTGGCCAAACATCGTCACGCAGGTATCACATATACCATGTCGACAAGGGGTCTGATGCTCGGCCCATCGGCCAAGACAGAAGACACACGCCGTGGGTAAGGTCAAAGCAGACCACCGCCGACCGAAGCGAATCAATTCGTCCTGTCGGATAGCGCGTGAGGTGTGCACCAGGCTGATACGGCTGAACTGTTCAGCGAAATAACTACGGATGGCGTCACAGTGTCCGCTGCCATCGGACTCTCCAACGGTTCTCCAAGCGCTACCGCAGATATCTTGGTACAACGTATCAAAGACATTTTCCGGTCGGAACCCTGTTTCTGTCAGTGCGGGGCCATGGTAGTGAGGCAACTCCTAGGCTAGCCCTACTTACGTTGCATCCCAGGAGGGTAGGCGTCCATCACGAGAGCGGACGCCATGAATGAATAGAGTTCTTGAAACGGACATTTCAGCTTGCGCGACTGCACGAAGAGTTCCGTCAAAGCTTCGCTAAATGTTCCACTGACGGGCAGCCTCTCTCGAGAGAGAAGGAGACAATCCACTCGGTGAGCAGCGGAGTGGAGTAACCCTGGAAGTGAACGGTGCCAAAGGAAGGCCTGGTGGACTGCCGAGAAGAGCAGCCCCTGCTGAAGTCGCTCAGTCCGGCTGAGCTGGAGCTCATCAAGAACCTGACGTTGCAACGGAGCGAATAATGCCGGACCTGAAAGCTGATGGCGGCCTCGAAGGTCGACCACCGACAATGATTCTTGATCCGGGTCTGTGATGCCTCGAACGGCCCGGAGCAGTTCCACCGGGTCTGTTTCATAGACGGCGGTTGGTCTTGTGAGAACCAAAATCACCCGCATACGAACTGAGGCGGAGGAGGCCCCGGCCTGTATACGACTTCGTGATGCTTCCAGCAGGCTCTTAGTTCTCTCCAATTCCACCAGCCCGTCCACGAAGAAACAGACGACATGCATCCACGGGAACACGAGTCTCGTCAGGAGCGAGCCCTTCAAGTCGGTGGTAGGAAATCGAGTGCCGTCAATGGAATATCGATGAATGTCATCTTTCCACAGGGCCTTGGAGGATTCACCGACAACCGGCAAATCCTGAAGTCTGCTCTCTGCGAACCAAATCGGGTATTCGTTGTGGGCGGTCGTGATGCTGAGGTGCAGTCGGATTACCCCCGCTGAGCTTCTGCGGAGAATATTATTATGGGGGAAAAGCGAGCGTAAAGCCAGCATGCGATTATGGTTCCCCACAAAGGAGATCAGGGAAGGATACTGCGTGGCCGGATGACCCATGTCCCGCACGATCTCGTTCATCCGCCCCGTATCGACCAGGGACCAGCCCGTGGCGTCTTGCGTGAGGTCCAGCCATGCCATGGTGGACGATTTGGTTCGGATGGGGGGTTCGGGCCTTATATATGTCCCCCGAGTCGGAAGTGGCTCAAAATCATTACATGTGTGCCATCCGTTTTCAATCGAAGAGATATTTCGGTATGTGCAGCTCAGTGGTCCACCGAAGAAAGTAACTGAGGCCGTTCACCAGACCTTACTGTACCCTCAAGTCACTGAGCGCCGGTTCCTTGATCTGAGGCGCACGCGCCTTGCTCAAGGTGGGCTTGATCTTGGCCAAGCCGTAATGATACGGCAGGAGGTAGTAGGAGACTCATGAGGCTGAGGGACAGACTGGAAGCACAGAAAATCATTATTGAAGAAAGTAGACATCAAGTTTCCTCATAGGGGCAGATTTCATGGGCACTGGGCACTCGGAGCGGTAAAATAAGACAAGTTTTGGTTCTCCTATTTCAAAGGGCCTGGCTCGCGAATTGGCAAATACCAATGCGGACGACCATGGGATAATTAGCCCCATAGCAAACGGTTGACTGATTTAACCGGGCCTGCGGAGATTGGTCAATGGCTGTCCTATTGGTGAACCATATCGACCCGCATGGCCCTCAAAAACTTCGGTGATGTGGAGCTTACGTGCTTCCCCATGCCAAACTAGAGAAAGTCTTTCATAAGCTACGAGCTTCCCATGCTCACGATGATTTAAAGGACTCCGCGAATGTTCGCATTGGGACCATGTGGACAGCGCAGTGGATATCTACACCCGAAAGATCCGTCGAGATTTTGCCTCATCATCCCCTCGTACCTTACACCAACGATGGACTTCGACGCCCAGATCTCTTATCGTGATGGCTTGATTCTTGGTCTCATACATCTGTTTGGAACTTGCTACTTCGTCTGTTTCGTGGTTTCCTTCTTTCTCTATTATTTCCCCAAGTCCCCCGGTGCCATTCTCAAGGCACAGGTGGTTACGTTCTACAGTATGGGGGTGCTGCTCTGGGAGCTGTTCAGCCTGACTTGTCAGTCATCAAGGATCTTTCACGGGGACAAATCTGCATCCTGGGGGAAATTTCAAATGGCATGCACTATGGCCCTGATCTACACTACGGCTGTCCCTAGTATCGCTGCGGCCTATCGGCAGCAAAGCTACCTCCGCTCTGTCTACCTTTCCGGCTTGACCAGCCTGGCCATCAGCAAGATCAGCGCAATCCTCGCTCGGACCTCAGACGCGTCGATGGCACAAAGCAGCTTTCACTGGGATTGCCTCTGGCTTGGGTTTTGGGCATTGTTACCATCAGTTCATGCTCTGCAGACACAGGAAAGTCCACCACCATTGGCCGTTAATCTCGTCCGGATTACTACGTGGAATTTGTTGGCGGCCGCCGGCTGTGCTGCGCAGATTCCCGAGCGGTTGGGGGTGGTGGGACACTGGCATCCGAGCCATTACGCGATGCGTCTCGTGTTTATCTGGAGCAGCATCTCGTATGCCCAAGAGGTCTGGGATATGGTACTCTGATCGATGACGTTGGCACAACATTAGTATTCAGCTCTCGCCAGAACGGCGCTGCTTAAATGTAGTTTATCGGCGAACTGCAGATTTTGGGGCGAGCGTTGGTGCTTCGCTAGTTGCAACGCGCGAGTTCGTGCAGGCGAACATATCGGTTGTTGCTAGGAGGTCGGATGACGACCACACTCTCCTACAAGAGATCTATATATTGTTCTCATGTTCTCCTGAATAGGACTGATGTATATTCGCCTTTGATTCAAACCATCATAAGACAGATGATTAAGGTGAATTTCCCGCTTATATAAATTGTGCGAGATTGTAGAAGCGGTGAACCACCACCCTTGGCTCCATTACTGTATGTGACGACAGTACATTGGCAGTACCTTGAGATTTTTTTGAAGGGCCCTTTCCAGGCTAGCAACCTAGGTATCCTTGATGCAGTGTATCCTGCCACTGCGGCTATTGGTGCTGACATCTTCGCTCGGTGGCTGAACAGCGCATCTATATCTGGTCAATCCTGCGCTGTTTTCGTTCCCCAAATAGAATCTAGGACACCGTCAACTCCGGATTATATACAATCATGCTCTTCAAACTCAAACTCCCGGGGCAGAGGCACCACTTGTTGTACTTCAGCCCGTCGTCTCGTGTATTGATTTAGATGTCACGGTGACTTTGAGCGTCGTGCCGGATGTGCTCTTACTCGTTCCCCTCCCGGTGCGCATACCCTGAAAGGCATAGCCGAAGCGATTCGACCAACGGACTGCGCGAGAGGCTTGTCAAGACCCGCCCTTCATGGTCGGAACATTCCAAATTGATCGTCCTCTTGAGCGGTGACAATTCCAGACACATATCACCGATGATCCAAAAGAAAAACCAATCCATGATTCAGGAAACGCCCTATCACCTTCTTCGTCGAGTGGCTGGAGGAATCAAGAGTAAATTGGAGGCCACATATTGGAACGAACAGAGATCTTTGTCCTTGCGGGGCTAACTTGTGTTAGCGTAGGAGTAACACAACCTTGGTTTATTCAAAACTTATGTTCTCGCACCTGTCTTCTTTCTATTCAAGCTGATATGCCTATTTCCCATGTCATGCATGCGCTGCTCACGTCTTTGTATACAATGACGGAAAGCTCAGTTGTGGGATGTAGTCCACTTGCTCAACACAATCGTGATTGATTTTCTCCAAGAGTCTCCGCGTCGCCTCGAGCAGAAGGAATTGGTAACGTCGGTCTTCAGGTATCCTGTTGCGTCCCATGCGCACAGCCATATTGCCTTGGAGATGGTGGGTGCGTGCCATCCATCTGCTGAAAAGACGGTTAATCCGCACTTGGCACTGCTCAATCTCCCTCCCACACTGCGGATCGCCCAGCCATACGGTTGCAAACTCTCGGGCCGAGTGAAGCTGCTGTAGAAGACGACGGTGATCCTGTAGCTGGTGGTGCACGGCTGCATGACGGATACCCTCAATGTCGACTCGTAACCGATTAACCCCCTTCTTTGGAATTTTCAACAACCCAGATGTGGAATGGGTACGACGCTTTCGGTCCAGCGCTCTGAACGCCATGTGCAATTCTACCTTCTCGGCACAATCCCATCCGTTAGCATGGCCAAGTTGGGGGTGCCATTTCTGGATAGACTCGAACGCAGAGCGCTCCAAGCGCTCTTGCAGTACCCGTAGAATGCGGTGTTGAGTGGGGTACGGCAGACTCGAAAGCGGCGGCAGAGTCAGTGATTTCGGCGTCAGTGACTCTGTCGGTAGTCCTTTTACTTCATAACCCATCCGGCCTGTATGAAGGTTACCTGCTGGTTTTCGAAGGGAAAGATCTGTGGAATACAGACCTGGGAAGATACTTTGGATGGAATACGGTGGTTCTGGGTGCTGATGAATGGCGGGCAAGACCGTCCCATACAATGCTCATATATACAGTATTTCACTCTTTTGTCTTACCTACATTATTGAGGGGTAATGGTCAAGTAGCCCAACAATTCTCTTGTGCTCTTTGTGGAAGATTCCGATCTGTTTGACGCCCCTACAATATAGCTGGGCTTCGAACTGGATGATCTTCGACCTAGTCTTGACTCCCCTGCCAAGACAGTACTACGTTCCGATAGGATGTCTGATCTGATGAGGTGTTCCACCATATCAATCTATAGTTGTTCAGTCAACATCTCAGGCAGATATCATGCCCAATCCTATCTTCCAACGCTGGCGACCTCATTCCGGACCTAGCTATGCAGGGGCCCGGCTCTCTACTAGGACATTAACCTTAGCTGCGATGCAGCAGCTTCGAACAAATTTAGGCTACGTGTTGGTGAGGACGGGGTACTTGATGCTCTCCTCGGCTTGGTCAAAGACCGTCGCACTGGATGTCTGGGGAACCTCGCCCCAGTATTGCACCTAGCTGTTGTCGGCGAAAACCAAACAGGAGTCGGCCTGGAAGCGACCGGACTTGCTGAGGGCGTGGGCCCAAAGCCTGGCGTATCAAAGGGAACAGCAGGATTGAGAGGGCGCCCGTCCCCGTAGAGAGGCCGAGCAGGGGCCTCGAAGACGTTCTTCAGATCCTGCAGGTCCTGCGAGAGACGTCGATCGGACACTGTGCATGGCGGTCACTGATGAACGTCGCGTAATACACAGCGCACGGTGCAACTGCTCCCGGATCAGGTTGGGAAGTTCTCCATAGTCTGAAACCCTGCTATCCCAGACCGCATGAGGCAGCGAGCTGGAGAATCGCCTAGGCTATCCCCCAAGGATGGAACCATTCTGGAAGGTAAGCGGCCGCCACTGACGGGAGGAAGATCAGCATGCTGGCCCTGCTGCAGTTGGCGTTTGTCTTCAAGTGCCTGAGCGACACCATCATATTGAATGACTTCCGGAGCGCTCTGGGTCGACTGCGCCACACTATCACCCGGATGCGCCCGCACCGCAGGAGACCACATACGCTCGTGGGCGGGGCACAAATAGGCTTGTGATTTGTGCACCTGAAGCATCTGTCAAACACCCCGTTCCAGTATGTTGTCCACCTGATAGGTTAAATATAACGGATCCGCAAATACCTAGCAGCTATGCATGACAAGGGTTTTCTTGTCCGATGGACACTTGGGCCATTCAGAGTATAATTGCGAGGCTCCCTTTTTGCAATAAAATATATAACTGATGACTATGTAAACCGGGCCGCTTACCACTGTAGTCCAAGTATGACCGCATGGACATGTTACTGATAAACTGGAATGTTTGTTATGGTAGACAAGGATATCCCACATACACCCAGTTGGGGAAGAGACATGGGAAGACATGGTGTGTGTGCAAACGACGCGTGGTCACGTTACTTGGCGCCAAGACCATACATTCTGTCTTAGTAATTGTTTGATGACAGCAGGGTGGTTGCAGATCGGATCGTACCGTAAGTTTAGCTCCGTTGACAGTAACCTGCTTATTAAACACTTTGCTTGTCACGTGCTGTCAACCTACCCCTTTCAATACTAAGTATTATGTTTTTGGGTCCACTCATCTTTTCAGTAAATTTACAGAATTAATCACTACATTCAACCTTTCTAATGGAGGAAGTACTCTTGTAAACTAGTGATTAATATATATTATTTGTATTATTTTCCATTTTACGAATTCTTTTCTTGTTTTAAAAACTATTGCACTTTCTATAATGTAATGATCAAAGATATAGTTTTCTTGAAAAACAAGTGTCTTTGGACGGGTCGGTTAACTCCAAAAATGCTTATTAATGGTCTTGGCGGTCACGTGTGAAAGTCAGAGTTGTTTGACCCTGTGCGTAAGGGCTAGATGACCTTGTATACACCGACATCATGCCTGCGAACGCTGATCGCTTGCTGAGTCAGCTCTTTCGGAGATGATGGCTAGTTAACGTTAAACTATTTTAGAGAAAACGCTTGCAAGGCACCCTTCTTTTGGGGGCAAATTTGAATCTAGGTTTGGAAACACACTGTAAGTAGACTGGCCCTGTGAGTGTCTCTATGAGATTGTCGCCATGGCTACACGGCCGTTTCGCACCTAGTCTTCGTGCCATAAAGCAGCGCCAGCTCCCACGTTACATCAAAATATGCCGGTCACCTTTGACAAAACAACCTAAACTCAAGCTTGTGACTGCGATGGATTCAAAGGCTGAGAATAGTACCAGCAGGGGGAGGGTGCGACACATCTCTGGCGTAACATCCCGCGTCTTTGACTCGCGGACATGTTGGAGACCCACTTCACCGAACCACTGAAGTTATAATGTTCAACAGCGCAGCTGATTCGTCCAACCGCCAACGCCATCGGCGATCAGATGCAGCTACGCGTGGAAGTTTGTTTAGACAACTTATTCCTTTACCTGGGATCGACAGACCAGGTTGCCCTGCAGCAGCCAGCACCAACATTCTGTCTCAAACGAACTCAATTCTAGACTCTCGGAATCGAACAGATGTTGATCCCTAACGGATGAGCTTGGTACAAGACAGTAGTTCTGGGCGATGTAACTTGGACCTTGTCCTTGGCATCCTCCCCGCTTGGTATAAGCAAAGTTCCCTTTTGCCCATCCTTCGTACAGTGACTTTCAATCCGACCTTAAGTCCTTGAGCGGAGCTGAACGTCGGGTTTTGGTGTGAGAGGATGGGACCCTCTCATAGATGCTGCTTACTCTTTTGAGCACACCGTGATTGTCCTGGTCTGATCCCTCACGTGTTCTTCTAGCTTTCTATAGCTCTACTTCTGCTCGAGCTCTCAAGGGACATCGCTCGGTAACGCAGTGAAGACCAAGCCTATCAGAGTCTGGTTTTAATACTAGACGCTACAGGTCAGCATCTTTCTTGGGGGAGTAGCAGTGGGTTGGGAAGATCATAGGACGGGGGACATACTAGCAGATTAACGACGTGAGAGTCCTCCTACCAGCCACGTTGATGGAATGTTGAGGAAGTTCCATTTCGCCTACGCTGTTGGTCTCCGACGCCCCCATCCCCTCATTTTCGTCGCTGTTCTCAGTTAGTATGCCCTCGCGCGATGGCAGTTCGGTTTTCTGTCGTCTGGCGGAACCGTTTCCGTGAAGTATAAGACACTCGGCCAAGTATCTGAATGTGGTCTTGTCTTTGCCGATGCTAGTGCTCTGCGGAGCGCGACCAATCGTGGCAAGGGGATTATCATTGTTCGCCGAGGATACGAGTGACGGTAGGCGCGATGAGATTCCTGTGAGTGCGTGCGTATACACCGAAAGCGAGAGACCCCAGCATAGGACGCACATGATGCTTCATGAAGATCGGCTGTCCCGCTGACGTAAAAGCAAAATGACTCCACGCGCCAGCTCTTCGAAAGGGGTCCACCCAACGCAAGCTCCAAGCTGAAGGGAGCATCAAGCCCATGGTTTTTGGCATGGATGGACCAGGGCCTGAGTGTAACCTCGCCGACCCTTGTGGCACTCAACAGTGACCGACCAGGGGCTGGTCAAACTATGTTGCAGTCGGGCTATTTTGCCCGCCTGTAGCCCAGAAAAATTGGGGCCTGATTCCCTGACTCGAGTTGTCGGAAGGGGGGAAGATGGGTGACTTCGTCTAGGGAAACGAAAGAGGTGCCTTAGAGCAAGAAAACCATGAGCCCTTAAAGCAATACGGGCTTTCTAAATTCGGTCCTTGAACCTCTTATCGCATGCTAAAGAAGAACCCAGTATGCTCTCCATACTAGAAGCCGCAAGAGATGTTTTCAACAAAACGCTCTGGATCCAGGATTCTTGCAGGATCGATAGTGTTTGACCCTGGAAACACTCCTAATCTTCCTGAGTTATCCGGCTCCCGCTCGCCCCTTGGCCACACGAACATTTGAAACCGATAATCTGCGTGATCGATGGTCCGCATGTATGGACGGATTACTTCCCAGATCTGACTGCGGAGCCGTCTGAGGTTGCCGAGGGTGCACTCCACGCGCGGAAGGAAGAATGGCGAGATGGCGACCGATTCGAACGTGTACTTATGGACGACCGTAAGGTGCATTTCTAACCAATCCACAGGGTATGACAGCATGGCAGAGGCATACCGAAAGACATCCTCGGGGTGCGTACACGGAGATAGGATGCTGGGCCCATTCCAGGTCAGGAATTCGGGATCCTCATAAGAAGAAGACAGGTAGCAGTCAACGGCCACGGTCTCATGTACGTAGGGTAGTTTTTCGTCGCTGCGCTGTAGGTTGGTCGTCTCCATGTCAGGCAACTATTCCGCTCCTTCAGGAGTGGTGTGTGGATGTGATGATGAAATCCTTTCACTGACAGCGCGCCTTCTGCATCTGCGCCCGTAGGGCCTCCAAATAAGTAGATGTAGACTTGGTGGGTTCGGAACCTAAACATACGCTCTTGTATGATTCATATCGCACCTGTAGACAGTTCTCGCATGAGAAGGCCCTGAACTCGGCATCGAGAGAAAGTTGGATAGTTGGGAGAATTGCCTGTCGTCCACATGCCATTTATAGTGTCTTGAACTGTCACGCTGGAACAATCAGCCTCCGAGGGCAGTATGAATTTCTTCCCTTGTCCCTTGAAACGCTGGGTTAGGACTGCGGGCCAAGTGTGGTGGAACGTGAGTCAAGCCATGCCGATCCCCTGGGCAATCAGCTGGGCACAACTAAGGGGTATGAAAGACCAGCTGGGAAACTACCGTAAGCAGAGTTTATGCAGCGGTTATCTCCAACTACCCATCTACCCATGACAGGCAAACTTCAGATTGGCGACCTGCCGAAAACATGACGTTGGTGAGGCTAGTAGACGGCACGGTATTCGCAAAACTGACCTCAAGCCTCTGTTCTTGCTCGATACCTTCGAAGGCACAGTCGCCAGGCGATGAACCCTAGAAAATGAGAGTGAGCTGCTCTGTAGGAGCAACGACGTCGGTTCCAGACGGCGCCGTCAACTAAGGGGCGGTTCTGCTCATTGCGACAATATGAACTGGCCGTATGGCAGTCTGGTCGGCAATTCGACCCCAGTAGGGCACGCAGGACAGTGGCCCGACAGAGCTCCGGTCGGGTGTTCTTTGTGCATGCGCCATCGCATGCTCCAAAGCCGCTCATCGCACGCGAACGATTGCTCGTGCAATGTGACACGCAACGGCTTACCAGAACAGAGCGGTGTCAAGTAGTCAAGATGTGAGCTCTGTGGCAGTCGTCGTTGTTTGACCTGCCATGGTCAGCATTCGCAGGACCCCGCAGGTTATCCAGCCCGGGTTATCTGTTGCGACGGCGCACCGGATTGTGCCTGGCATGCCTGTACTATCAAGCCGCGTGGCCGTACCGGCAACCGATTATTTACCCATCAACAAATGGCCCTGAGACCCCAAGATCCGTGACTGTCTAAGTTGAGCGCCCAGACATCGGGCTAGATAGTGAAGTGGAGCCGTAACGATGAGTGCCACTGCCACACATGAGATCGGTTGCGCGTAATAACAGGTGTCTCATATTACCAGTGAGGGTCACCTTCCATAATGCGAGGGGCAATCCTCTCCTGATAATCGCTTTGTGAGGTGTTAGTGGAAGCGTTGTTGTCGCGACAAAAGGCCTCCTACATGTGACAAGCGTCGAGGTCAAAGTCGCACATTTTTGATGTCTGCCCCGTCTGTCGCTGAACTACATCCCGGCCTTCTTGGCGAAGTGACTGGCGGGCGTAACTATGGCACTGTAGACAATCATTAGTCTTGGAGTGCATGTTCGACATCCTCTCACGTACATTGTAGGCTCACAGGTAGATCAATCGGAGGTAATCAAACCTACCACCGGCGGCTAGCTTGCCACGACGATTGCTCAGGTGACCTTGGACGATTTCTCTGGCCACCAGTGGCCCTTGACACAGCTTGATTCGTTCTCTGAACCCGTCGCTGGTGTTAACGGATGTCCCCTTTCTAAGGTAATACAGACGAAATTAAGGATTTATTGGAGTCAGGGCAGCATTGTTGATGCCCGCAGAGGGTTTGTCGCATACCTTGAATTCACCGCGGTCGAGGTCCAACGGGTCCTGCATCCAATCTCCCAGACAGCATCGGTGGTCTAGGATTCATTAGGATCTCTGCGGTTTCGGACGTTGCATCAAGAGACGGTCATTACCAAAGTCTTGCATCTGCCACACGATTTCCAAATTGCGTACCATGACCCGCCGCTGTTCGCTCGCCTGGACAAGCATGCGGATAGAGGAAAGTACTCACCGAATGCCAATGTCATCTACGAGTAATACGGGCGTCCCAAACAGAGAGAAGCCGATCGATTGGCTGTACAGCCCCAGCAACAGCGGAAGCTGCCAACGGTGGTGTAGTGCTATCGCCATTGGGTCACAGTCATCATCGTCGAGGGGTGACGTGGTGGGCTGCCCAGTAAGGAAACCCAGTCATACCTGAGAGAGGCCGCTTTGGCGATGGAAATGGCTCCATGAAGCAGGGAATGGGCGGCCATCACCCGCCCAAACCAGCGATGCGACCACACAACGGCAGAGCGGCGGATTCCGCGCAGATGAGCCGGGAGGCCAAATGTCAGGCCCGTATCGAGCGGCAATAGGTTCAGAACGGCGAGCTTCTCCGCGCGTTGCTGGACGTCGGCCCAGCTATGGGCGGACACGAGCAGGTTGAGGCTGTTAGCGCCCAGGAGCACCCTAACCAAGATCCCATTGAGAGCGGTGGCAATGTTGATAGTCTGGAGAAGCCATGGCAACTCGCGGCCGAGACGCCGTCCAAGGGAGGCCTCGAGCTGACATCAGACAGTCCACCGGCCGAGATTGTACACCAACCGCGTGCTGAGCCAGACACCCAGTAAGGCAGCAACCCATATCCCGTACTAGCGGACGTAGTTGATTTGGGTGGCTTGTTCATACAGGTCTGCGAGGGGTGGAGACATTGTCTCTGAGGAAGCAAAACTCGGATATGGCAGATGGGAGATGTCAGTTTATAAGCATTTTCATGGCGTCGGCTTTGAGCCACTGCTACAGCCAGATGCGACATACTTTCATGAGTGATGGTCGGCGCCTGCTTCCTCCTGCTCTATTTAGAGATGGTGAGCCGGTCAAGTATGTGATAAACAGTGCTTGCACAACCTGCTTTGAGGTCAAATCCGAAAGACAGTGGATACTATCCCTGCTTTCAGTCCGGCCCAGGCATAAGAATTTGAGGTGCCGCAAAAATATCTATACGGCAATAAAATGACTTCCAGCCAGCTCCTCTCTCACAGTATAGAAACCTAATGACCCTTTTACCATATTATATAGCCCTTTTGCTCGTTTCATACTTGCAATTTATCATGCTGACAACGGTTGAAGATCATCAAATTGACTGCTACAGATGCAAATCTACAAAAGTACCGCTTGAACTCAAACCAGCTGTGCACAGGTAAGTCTTGTTACAGATCATTTTACAGTCATTTCCAGACACTAATGTGCTGAGAAAATGCAAATAAAACATTGACGTACCTAGGGTACATACTGTAGACCAGCAGCTAACTTCGATTCCAGACCCTCATCACGATTCCGGACACAACTTAGGAGGCCTGTTTCTATGCCCCTGTCACAAGTATGAGACCATGTAAAACGTATGGTCCAGGGGATGTACAGTATTCCATTGCTACCTCCGTCTCCTCTTTTTCTCTCCCCTTCGCCTGCTAGGTTGTAAAAGTGCTGACAGACCCTCTATGCATCGGGTAAGCTGTTGATACTCTGCAGTCGATTGTTTCCCCTTTTTCCTCAGCAGGTTCCGGGCATTCCGAGCTTCCTGAAGGGAAGCAGCCAAATCTGACGCTTCACTAATGAAGTTGATATACGGTGTTTTGCTGTTTGAGGTCCTGGTCGTTCGTGATGGACGTTGTCTTGTAAAGTCTGTGGTATTGCCGGTTTAGTAAATTGCAGAGTCAGGACACACGATCAGATAGCAACGTACGCGTATCTTGAGAAAGGCAGCTCACATAGTCTGGCGATGGCCCGGTCATTTGCCTGTCACACAGTGAAGGATCTTCTGAAAGAAACTCGTAGTACTGCGGGTTGTGACGGTCCTTCGCCTCCATCTCTGCCAGTTCGGCCTCTATCCACGACACGGACGGGATGGGATTGTCCAGCGGTGTGGGCTCGCTGAAGAGCGTAAGAAAGTCGCCTTCCTCGCAGGGAGAGCTGTACACGCACTGCGACATTGCTTCGGTGACCGGCATGGGTATGCCAGCAAAAGTGCCTATAGCGAAGAAGAGCTGGTCTGTGCACGATGTGTCTTTGCGGTAGCCCGAGCATTTTAGGCGGAGTCACCACTAGATATAGGCGGCCGTGTCAGATATCCGAAGCGAGTCCAAGAGTCTGTGGCGGTCGGCTTTACCCTGGGCAGACTATGCTATCGCTTTTCGAAGGCGTGACCAGTGCCGTAGCTCCGAAGAAGTGGAGCCACGGGGTTCGTTCGTAGGCCATCAGAAATAGAAATGGTTCCGAAACAGCAGACAATCCTTAGAAAAGAGCAAGCGGATCGGTATCGACGGTGGTGTTGGGCTCTGGCAAGCCATAGTGGGGTGATAGCTTGAATGGTTCTTGCAATTGTATTTCCCCTGTCTGTATGGAGAGCGGTTGGCCCTGTGCGACGTTCAGTTTTATAGATGTATATACACTAAGAGACCAGAAGGTTGCATGCGTTATTCGACCAGGTAGGACAGCACCTGATATCATCAACTCCTATGGTTTTGTTCGTAATGCATCTCTAGCGCCAATGGCTCCAGCTTCGCACCATGAACTGCTTCAGGCGGATAATGCTGAAGAAAAATGATGGTTTATCTCCGACCTTCGCAACCTTAAAATACCGGTGACCGCTTAGGTAAGTAGTCTCTATCAAACTACGAATGCTGGAATAGCTATCACTAGTCATGATCGATTTCTACAACCCTATATTGCGTGGTGCCCTTAAGTCACCCTTCTGGTCTTGTTGGTGGCGAAAGACTGATCATATATCCCAGAAGATAGGAAATGGTTTCCAGTTCTATGACACTTGGCAGGGAGCCAAGGAGCGGTGTTTCTCTCCAGAGTAATCTGTTGGCTCCCAGGAGTTTCGGCCGTCTGCCGCGGGATTTCTGCAGCTTTCAACCTCTGGGCTATGCCTTCTCGAATGGTCACTCTGAATCAGTCATCTGCAGGAAGAAGGGCGATATTGCCCTAGGCGCAGACATGGTCTCCTACTATCCTGCCTAGGAAGCTATTGCTCATTGCCCATGCATGAATTTCTCTCTCATACATGAAGGATACGAGACAACCGAATATGGCTATGTACAAGACCCTCGCGTCCGAGGCAATCGCACACAAATGACAGAACTATGGATGATAGAAGACGCTGCCGAAATCTTGTCTTCTGTCTCCTGGCCTGCAGTCCGCGCCAACTACTTTCCTTCGGTAGGCCATTTCCCACAAACACTATACATCTCATACGGAACAGACAGGGGCAGTGAAGCAGACCGACTATTGGCAGCATCGATTCCAGAGGCTGCAGGTTGAGGAACAAAGCAAGTAGAGTCAGGTATCTCTGCTTGCCAACTGGCGACAGGCAAAGAAGGCTGGGTGCCTTCGAACTCATGCTCGGCAGAGGTCGTCTGGAGATAAGACGTCCACTGCTCCCATACCGAGGCGGCACTGCCCAGGGGTATAAAGCCATCTGGACTCAAGGAACACCTCTGGACGAGGGTTCCCTCTTCCTCAGGAAAAGTTCCTGTCGAGCGTTCACAAGCGCCATTATTATCCACCGAAGGGGCCCAAGCGGCAGGCCGTGAGTCCTGGCCGAAGTTGGAGAACGCCTTCGAACGCAACGCCAACTCCTGAGAATGGCCTTTTGCAGTCCGCGGCTTTCCCCACTTGTTCGACAGCGAAAAGCGATATCCCGGATGCGCCGTGGCATGGTTCCGTTTCTCCATCTCCGCGAGCGTCTCGTATTCCTTCCGAATGTGAGGGGCTTCCATCTTCCAGCTCTGTCCGCTGAGTCTGGAGATGGTCTGGTGATCATTCCGGCCGAGCCAGTATCTAACTCGATCACTGTACGCCAGCCGGTACAGTATGAATGAATTAAGTGGGCGCGGGATTCTTTTATGCCGTTGCAGTGCCTCCCGGCGGCGGGTCTTGACCGGGCGGTGCACCCAGGCGTACATATCTCTAACCGGGATGTGCAGCATACCCGTGGTCAGTTCACTCAAGGGACATGGTAGGCATAGATTTTGACTCCTTGTCGCTGCATACTTGGCTTGGCCATTCCTTGTCCGGGCTTGGAAGCAACTCGACTTCCGAAGTCCAGTCTTCCGGCACAGAGCTTCCGATTTCGTGTGATTTGCGTCATTGCTTTCTTTCGGGATTAGCTTGTCCTCATGGGCTTGGGTGCTGTCATGGATCTATTGAGATTAGCAGAAGGCCAGCAAGTACACCTGGTTTCCAGCTGAGGCGGAGTAGGAACGCTTCTTACCGGCTGTGGGACCAAATGGTATGGGTTATCGGCCGCAAACTCTAGCATAGGGACAGGCTGATCGAAGTTCTAGGACCGTCAGAGTGTGATACTTTTGCAGCTTCTAGTTGGAAAATGGGTGTGCGCGCCTACCACAGCGTATTTCCCAGAACCTTGGGGAAGACCATCGGAGATGCACGGGAGGTGCTGTCTGAGATCCTCACAACCGGTACCAGGTATGAACCAAGACTGGAAATATGGCGGTGGTGGTTCAGACATCGGGCCTCCTGGTGTGGCTTGGAGAAACACGGACACCTCGGTCCCCATTTCATTTCGCTTAGTTGTGGCTGCAGAAGATTTTGACATGCTTCCACAAGGCTGAGTGGGTAGAGCCTTCCTCGAATGGCAGGACGATTATTCCAAAGACAGTAACTAAAGACTGAGGTGGTAAACGAGCGCAATTTGATATTAGGATGGACCCCGATGGCAGTCCCGGGTCTTTATAAAGGACAAGTATGAATCAGAGTCCTTCTACTCTAACTTGACCACTGACACTACAGCTATAGCTTGGTCGTCCTGGATGAATAGCGGAACTCCCCCAGATCGCAGCTGGTGGGACATGACCTACACCCACCCAGGGACCCCTGCGACCTAGAGTCATACTAGCTACAGGCGAAGTACGGAGTAGGGTTCCGGATTGGAACATACTGAATCTCCATCAGTATGTTCAGCAATAGCTGGAGCGACGTGTGAGTGGAGCCACTGCGAGAAATGAGATCGCCATTCGTAAGCAGCCGAATTAGGCAACAAAGTTATATTGGGCGTCTTCGATGGCCCAACTGAGACATGCCGAACGGCGGCTACACGGCTTGTTAATTTCCAGCATCCTCTAATTTGAGCCATCCACAGCGATTCCCAGTGCAAGGTACCCTTGCCTAGCTGATCCTCCATTTTGGGTAAGTATGGCGGAATATGTTCCAGCCTGGACTAAGTGGGCTTCGAAAGCCATGAGTCATTCGCCCTCAAGGTAGGGCTCTCGGAGAAAGCATGCCCCATACTTGTGATCCCAGAATAGCCAGTCCGATTGATAGTCACCGTAAATCACCGGAACCGCATGGGAGGCCGGATCTTCCGGTCACACCCCTTCCTCTAGCGTGATTGGTCCAGATAATCAAGGTTTGATAGATTGTCCCGGGAGATTGGTAACCAATTATCGATAAGCATTTCCTAGCCTTTAGAGACCCAGACACGTTTCCTGTCAGGGCTTATTGAGTATAGAAGAGGTTGTAGAAGACCACAACGAACTTTTAGTACTACGGGGAAGCTTGGCGCAAGAACTGCCCATTCGCGAGGGCAAAGACTAGGGAACAAGCAACAGGAGCGAACCAGAACATTAGTACTTCGGGTGATCGCGGAGTGATCTTTCGAATGCCGCCGGAGCCTTGCCGCCCCAAAAGGACACGCTTGTTGGGACTACGGCGCGATGATTTGGAATTGGCTACCATAGCACTGGGACCGCACCGAACCCCAACGCGTTTCCATGCGATCGCAATCGAGCGAAAGCTATCGTGCGTCCTAGACTTATACCCGTCACAGTAGACCAAACTTTAACAAATGAACCCGGTGGTCTAGATCTCCATTTATTGTCGCTGGAGCAGTCCTTGAATCGTGTCACAGGCTGCTTTGCCATCGCGATCTACAACACGCTTCTTTGTGGAAGGATCGTCCGGATGTGATCGAAGATAGCCAATGATCGTCTCCATAAAATGCTCGCCGTCTGGTGCCTCAATAGCTTTCTCGCTAGAGGCAAGACTTTGGCTTACCTTGACGGCAGAGCCAGTCAAGTTCCGTAACCCTGTCACCTGAAAGCTCTTTGTCTCGCGTTGAAAGCTATCGGGGATGGAATGGCTGTGGTCCGCTACCACGGCCGCACAGGGCTGATCATTGCTGGAATGAAGAGGGACGCCGGCCTGTCGGTCTTGGTAGTACGCTATAATTGGGGCGGGACAAGAGCGTAGAATGATCAGGTTACATTCATGACGCAGAGAGTGCGAGCGTTGCATCGTCCTGGAACGGTGGGGAAGCTAGAGCTGCCTAGTGACTGCGTCCCCCCTGTGAGACGTGAAAAATTAGCGTCTCTGACGCCCTGATCGTTCGGGTTCGCAGGGGGTCAGTCGCCGCCTCAATCGTGATACGAACCCTGCTTTGGTAGGTAAAGCGGAAAGCTAGCTCCACCAAAAGAAAGGCCTTTATCCTTTTGTCGATGGGTAGGAGCTTTCTACGCAATTGTTCAACGCTATCAGCCTGCGCGGGACGTGGGCACATTCGTGTTCCACGAAGACAGTCACAAAGCCACCGCGTAGGCTCATGAATGCGCTAGCAATCGAAAATAGCTCTGTAATCTCTGTACAGAAAGGCTATGTTAAAATAGGCCCTACATACCCGTGAATTGCTCGATTCACTCGGATACAGAGATACAGGTTGTGGTAGGTAAATTGATCCGATTGGTCAACATTAGACAACTTCGGGAGCAGTCCGGAGTGGGCCAGCACTGTGGCTCAATGTCACCGGACCTGACTTCGTAGGAAAGAAAATGACATTAGCTGAAATTGACACTGCGCTAGTCAGCCTTTGGAGCTGCTCGAGGTTTCAGGTTCGTATCTTTTACGGACAGGCGGTCTCGCCGGCCTGCAGCGGGGCCGCCGTCCGTCTCGCATGTGGGCTCATTTTACCATTACTGCTTTGAACTGCCATGATATGGTAGTATCAGTCGGCACCATGGTTCTGTGGCCATTTCGCACGATCTGGGGCCTTGTGAGGCAGCGGCAACATGATGAGACCAATATGTGCCCATCACCTTCAACAGAATACCCATACCCACGGTGTGCTTCGATGGGCTCAAAGGCTGGGAGATACAGGAGAAAGAAGGCACGACACATGTTGGTGATACAAGCTTTTGTCTTTTGAGAAGCGGAAACGATGGAAATCCACTTCACCGAAATATCAATGTCAAATTCATCAACTGCGCAGCTGATTTGCCCAACTGCCAAAGCCGCCAGTGATCCAGTGCAGCCAAGGGTGGAAGGTGGTCTACACAGCTATTCCCTTTACCCTGGGATCAACAGACCAGGCTGCTCTGCAGTTGCCAATACGAACATTCTCCCGTGTATGAAATGAACATAACTTTGCATTCGGTATCGTACAGATCTTGTTTGTTACTGACTAAACTTGGCACGAGGCAGACTTCGCCTCCCCCCAAAAACACCAGATCTGGGACCCGGGATGGCGAGTTCAATTGATAGTCATGCCAGTTTTCGAGAACGGCACTAGAGGCAGGGCTTTCCGGGTCACAACTCTTTGTACAATGTGGTTGGTCCAGATAACCAAGGTTGATAGGTCATCCCGGGACATCAGCACCCAATTATTGGTAAGCATTTCCTAGCTTCAGAGATCCGGACGTGTTTCCCTGTCAGGGCTTATTAGATAGATTAGGATGCAGGAGACAACGCCGAGTAGTTCTCACACGAAAGCTTGAGTCAAGAGCTGGCCATTCGCAAAGGCAAAGACTGAAGAACAAGGAGCTGGAGCAACGCGTAATATAGGGCTTGGGCAATACCGGAACGATCTCCCAAGAAAAGCCAAAGCCTTGTCGCACCAAAAAGAAACGCCCATTGAACTACGGAAATACGGCACGATGATTTGGAATTGGCATTTATTGCACTGGAATGGCACCGAAGGCCAACACGACACTATGCGATCGCGATCGAGCGAAACCCATCGTATGTTCTAGCCCAATCTCAGTTGCATTATAGGGAACTTTAAAAAGGTGGACCTAGTGGTTTAGAACCCATTCGGTTGTTGCTGGAGAGTTATTTCAATCGAGGTATCACAGGGGCTAATTCGCCATCGTGATCTATTACACAACCCCATCTTTGGGGTAGGATTGTCCGGATGTCACCGAAAGAGTATTGTCGCTGGTCAACGATCGTCTCCGTGATAAGCGCTCTGCTATTTAGTTCCTCGAAGTAGATGTATTCCAGACGACACGATTGTGATCAGATTGATGACAAGGTCAATTGAGTTCAGTGATGCCGACATCTGGACGCCCTTCGTCTCGCATTGAAAGCTATCGGGGATCTGCCAGTTCGGCCGAAAATTTGTGTGGTTCGCTCCCGCGGCTGCTCCTGGTTGGACTGCATCTGCCTGTCGGTCTTGATGGCAAGCTATAACGCGGTCCAGTCAAGAGCGTAGAATGGTCAGGTTACAGCTCTGTCATAAAGGGAAGTAGGAGTGTTGGATTTTGTTCTAGAACAGTGGAGAAGCCAGCCAGAGCCATCCAGAAGTTCTTCCATGCTGTGAGACACGAGAGACTTAACACCAGTGACACCTCGGTCATTCTGTTTCATTGTTAGGCAGCCGCCACCTGGGTTACAAAACGATTTAGTTATGGCACGTAAAGCGGAAGGTCGATCTCGCCGGAATATTCGCCTTACAACCACTTTTCGGTCGGAGGGTGGATTTACGCGACAGTCCGATGCCATTGGCTTGCGCGGGATGTGGGCACGTTGGTGTTCCACGCGGAAAAATCGTACAGTAACAGTGGGGGCTGAAGGGAGTTCGCAAATTGATCCGCGACCTGGTGCAGCCACAGGCACGGGCTGGTTCTTGGCGCACGTCCCCCATCCCCCAGCTCCACCTCGAATGTCGGTCGCAGGAGCGGGTATTTTCCCTCGGGTTGTGATCATGATCTTATCTCTACAGCTAGCCATGCCACAGATGCTGGAGTTGAAACATTTTCTTGAACTTGGTCTGCATGCTGTATTATTACAGTTGTCGGAAAATTAGAGCTGGTAGAAACCTAGCCGGGTATTTGTTGCAATATCATCCAGTTCATTGAAAGTTGATCTATCTAGTTCCAAGATCCTCCTGAGTGATGGTCCTTTTTGGGGCATCTCCTATTTATCTTTACCAGTCTTATCCCGAACTAGCCCATGATGCGACGTTACAACTAAACCACGTATTAAGACGAGAACAGATCTCACGTTTTATCGACCGTCTCTCCAGCGTCGGTGGATATTCTTTGTGTCAGAAGCTGGTGTCCTTGCCGCGCGTTGTAACATTTGTGGCGCCGCTACCAAACGAGGACTTTTGGAGTTTGTCCAGAGTCTCCCCAATATCCCAATTCCACTGCTTCTGTTCCCGCATGCTGGTCTCTAAAGCGCTGATCTGCGTCAGCCTTGTAGATAGAATGGGGACGTACACTTACTCCACCCGTTCAGACAGCCTGGATATGGTGTCAGCTCGTGATGCTTAATTCTTTGAAGCAGAGTCGGCGATCTGAGAAACTGTACTCATTTAGAAGAGCAAAGGCTTGCCCTGGGGCACTGCCCTCGCTGTCGTCCGCCAACGGGTTGGCGCTTCCACTAGACTGATCTACGACCCCTGGATTCAGATCCTTATGCTCTGCAATTCCATGTTCTTTTGCCACCGCGGCGTGGCTATAGGCACCTATCTGGACAGGGTGCGAAGCCTGAAGTCCTAACGTGGTCCGCAGAGCCTGTAGCCGCGTATACCGGGGTGGGCTACTTCCGCGCATGTTGGAATAACAGTTGAGCCTGGAAAACACAAGTTGAAATTGGAAAGATCAGTCCAAGTGTATGGCAAAATCAAAGACACAAGAAGAAGCGAAAAGCATGTTATTGACGAAACGTGGACTTAAATATTTTAGCAGATGTGACCCCCGAACATCAAGGACGGCATCCCAGGCCGTGTGTTGCTCAGGCGATCAGATTTCCATCATCACCGTAGAATGCAAGGTCGAGGCATTTTCGGATCGTCGATTCCAGAGGTTGTATATCTTATGTTTTACGAAGGTGGGCAACTTGTGGCTCACCGTGTGGAAACCCAGCTGGTGGTAGGTCTGCTTGTTTTTTGGTGTCTGCTCATGGTTCTTGAAGCGGCTGGATTTCCAGCGCCGCTGTTCTCGCGCAAACCTCATAACTATTTAGAACAGGCATAGTACACGATCTGCCCCTTCTCAATGGGAAGATACGCAAGATAGCAGAACATTTATTCCCAAACAGTGCTCAGTTGGTGTCAGCTACTGTCTCTCTTGGATAACCCAATGCTTGTTGAGTAAGTTGGGTAAAGCCTAATACGGCAATGATGACCACTGGCGTACGCTATCAGGGCAAAAGCACACACAGGACAGCATTAAAAGGGCTGTCTGAGCTCCTCTCCTCACTCGCCAGCACTTACTCTAACTTCACCGCCTTCGTGCCTATATTGTCGCCTGAACAGTTGGGGTCTTCAGCGATATACCTATTAACAACTCCTGGCAATCTATCCCAACACATTTCAATAATGCGTGAGAACAATGCAGCACATGAAAAACCTTCAAGCTGTGTGCCTAAAGGAACCTGTTGTCAGACGGCTGTCAAAAGCCCGCTTTCAATCGGCAGCCCCTCGTTCCTTCTGGATCCACATCAACTGGCAAGCACTCTTCAAGCCATACGTGGTTCTATGGCCATGCTTCATGCAAGCGAAGGGGAATGCAAGGCACGTGCACATTTGCTTATGTCAGAACCGCATGCTGCTTGCGGAAACATGGGTATGCACGAGAGACAACATCCAGAACATCATTCACTAATAGCTAGAAGCAGACTCCGAGAATATACTTGCCGACTTCCACCCGAAGACGCCACCCAACAGCCCGCGTATGGCTGCTTCAGAAGCTGTTCCGATTGAGCAGGTATCTATCTTGGAGAGCTAATACTACCTGACGGACACAGTCATCGACTCTCGCTGCTACGATGGCGATGCGTGCTACCTCAATGATTATAATGTATGGAACTTTCACATGGAGGGTTTGGGCGTGCAGGCCGGTGGGGGAACGGCGCCTTTCTATCCGTGCCATTTGTGATATAGTTACTAGAAAGGCCACCCTTTCAGAAACTTAATAATAAAAATTCCGATTATACGGCTGCAATAGATAGAACGTTTTTTTCTCTCTGTGGTCTCGCGCAGCTCCACTGGCCTGCTCCCGTGAGCAGGTTTTACCACGTCTACCAAATACATTCCCAACGAAGGCCTAGCTTTATTGGCAAGACACAATGAACATGCGAATAAAAATAGTCACGTGAAAACAATGCAACTTCAAAACTCAGGATCCACTATGATAATGGGACACATATATCCGGAAGGTGAATGCGATAGTCCCAATCTTCACTGGCTCGAGCTTCCCTCCATGAGTCGGGCAGGCCCTCCTGCGGCTTGTATATCCCAGGACGATGCATCAGATTCCCACCGGGCTGATTTCGGGCTCGGATTCGGGCTGCATGTTTAGATCATAGGATATCTCAACCGCCACGGCCGCAAGATCGTCGAAGATTTTGAGACATGTGCAGAAGAACCAGTTCTCGTCTTCTTGGCGGTTTTCACTGTCGCTAACTCTCTTCCAAGGTGCCTTGCAGCGAATATGGGTTTTCCTTTCCTTTATCCCCCTGTTTTTGTTCTTGACATTCTGAAGCCGCACGTGGGTCGTCCCCAGGGCCATGGTTCTCCGCCAAGCTAGCGCAATCTGATGGCCGATCAATATGATCTCCAGTAGCTCATGTCTTGCAGAACGTTTAGTTGGTCTCTCCTTGCGCGGGATCGAGACAGAAGGAATAGGAGAGATCTCAGGTCCATGACTGTAGATGCTGGACGCTGCGTCAATAGCTGTTCCCTTCCTCCAGAATGCTGACAACGTAATGGCTCCGTCGAGAATTTCACAACTAATTGCTCATCTATACGAGGTTCGAGAGTGCCGCTCTCGATCCAGCATCAATATGCCAACGCAGAGGCAATTCTCCGTGTCTAGAGTGCCCTTAGCCAGCTTTAGCGGGAGCTGATGTGCACTGCGTGACACAGTCTGTACTATGGTTGTCGATCGGTATACTTGTGTGCATCTCAGAAGATAATCCATTTCTATGGCAGAGCAACTACAACTGGAAAAGTTGCCCGAAGTTACCAGAGTCGGGTACCATATCATGATCATCGCCAAATGCACCCCCTTCATCCTCCTGAGTAGGCCACATGTCCGGTACCGCTGTCGTTGCCGGTAGGGCAGTAGTCCAGGCGGCTGGATCCACACGTTCTGGTAAGCCAGCCGGGCTCCGAAGCCGCTGGTGCCAACCTGCAACGGTATGCTGCATTTCATCCACCAGTTGTTGAGCCGCCTGCCGCTCAGAGAATTCTTGTCTGCACCGATGCTGGTTACTCAACAATTCCTGCTTTGCACTTTCAGCGCTTTCAAGGCGCTCCGACAGGGTTTTCTTGTCCCTCCGCAATGCTTCATTTTCCCGCTCCAGTGTTTCGACCGTAGCCAGACAGGCCTCGTGGGTCTCCAGTGAGCTGGCAGAAGGAACGTCTCGAGAACCAGAACCGGATATCTGTGGCCGCTAATGGGGGAGTGAAGTCAGCTAAACAACAGGCCCCAGCAACTGTGCATGGAGGCTTACCATGTATGGACGTCTAAGGGAGCGCGGAGGCTGCTGGGGAGGCCGCACGATGGGCTCCTCTCTTTGGATGGATCCTGCGTCGGAAACACCACTGTGATTCTCGGTCTTCTGGGTGGTTGCGCGAACGCCCGCCCGCGGCCTGGTTGTGACTTTTGGCATTGATCAATGGTACCCGAGCTAACAGCAGAGCAGTGTGGAATGGTACAAGTGTGCCGTAGAGTGCCGTGCTGAAGGGAGAATTGGTCGGAGTCACAGCCAGCAAGAGACCTGGCTGACAAGAATAAAGCGCGCCATCTGTGATGGCGGGATCCCTCAGTAATCTTAGTCAAAGAAAGCTAGTGACAACTGTCAGTTGGCATTATCTGCCTACATGATCCTGTGTCACCATAATCGAACCAGTGACACTGATGGTTAAGATCTGCAACATCGTGTTTTGCAGCGGACCCAAGCACCATGGGGTATTTCCCCGGCCAGAGCGGTCAAATGTCTAGGTTAACCTTATTCGGCCTGATCTATTTATCACAGCGTGTTTAGTCTGGTCTCTGAAACTGACCCACCTGGCCCGTGGTTCGAGGCTCTCTGCCCTCGTTGACACCATCGCATAAAGTGGTATTGGCCTGTGAAACTTGGACAACCCTGGGCCACAGGGCAAGTCGAGCGGTGAGCTGCTTGGGTAAGTTAATGGGAATTGTTGCATGGATGGGGCGACGCTCGTTTACCAGGAAACATTGCTAGGGCAAAAGATCCTCCACATCAAGTAGATCACGGTGTCCCTCCTCTTTCTTGTAGCCTCGCAGTGCTGTACATATTCCGCACAGCGGGCAATACGCCTACCTCGATCTTTCACTTTTCCGCCTGTCTTTACCAGCGCTGTTCTCCAAGTTAGACCACGTTTGTCATTTCACTCTTGCTCCCCATGCCCAAGAGACACTACCGGGCCTGGACTCCCGGCGAGGAACGTGACTACCCATCATGGGTAGCTCGTCATCTCCATTTAACATGGCCGGAGAGGGCAAGAATATATTCCATCGAACGCAAACCCAGAACGAGAGAGTCTTTGCGGACCAAACATCGACTGCTGGAGAAGGACATCCGACGGCACCGCCGTCCAAATAGCAAACCCCCATCGCGGCTCAGGCGTCGCATCCCCCAGAGAAAGGATCATAGCCAGCGGAAGGCTTGGCCCAGTCCTATCTCGATCAGCACCCCCACCCCTTCCGAGCATCATTTGGACGACCCGAGCGCGGTAGCGATACCGATGATGAGGCGACGGACCCGTACACGCGTGGCCAGTCACCAGAACCAGAATCAGACCGCACCGTCGACCCGGGCTCTAAAATTGACCCCCCAGTTCTCAGCCAAACGTGGGAGCCACATGTGTTTGACGCGTGGGCTTGTTGAAGGCTGGGGTAATTCCCCCGGTAAGAGCATGCCCCCCGTGCCGTCATCGAAGCCCTCTGATATCCAAACCTTCTTAGGAGCAGGAGCAGGAATCGGAAGTGAACATAGAGCATCGCCTCGGGCATCAACTACATCTGACGAGATCGATCGGCTGTGGCGGTCAGCATACCGTGTCTCCGGTCGCACGAGGCAGTAGGCACGAGCCGTGACGGAGACATGCTGGTAGAACTCTCCGCGAGGGTTCTCCAAGGTGGGGACGACATACCGCCGCAGCTGCGCTTTTGCTCGTCCAGCTGTGACCAATTGCCCCATTTCCTACATCAGTACCTGGTGTGAATTTACCTCATAAAGCTGCCTGGTTGTGTTCATGGTTGGCGCGTCATTGCTTTGTATTTGTCTTGTGGAATAGTCAAAACCCACTTCTTCCCAATACATTTCTATACGGTTTGGGCCATATATATACAACACCATTGACCCTACATGCCTGCAGACTATGGCCACGCGCAACCTTTTTCTCTGAACGGTGTTCGCTTCCCTATTTATCTAGGTTAACCGCACATACAGATGTCACTGTATTCACGTGCTGAGCTCGTTTCTTTACGTACGTCAGAAGCCGAAACTTGAGAGCGTATCATTCGTTTGGTGCGCGTGCGGATTCTTCAGGCGGGCATCAAGTTGAACACCTTGCACATAGTCCCGGGCCTTCCCGAGTATAGACTAACGTAACCAACAACCGTGTGGCTCTCACGGTCGGCCACCCGTCCCAATTGTCATATACAAGATTTCTTTCTATAAGATTCTATTTGGGTTATTTCAGCTATATGAAGACTACAAGACTTGGTTATAAACGTACATATTTTAGTGGTATCTAATAATGATTCCTCTGACTTCCCGGAATATTTACGTCATATGACGAAGCCGCTAAATAGATTAGGTGTATTTCGATTGTAATCTATAATAGACAGTATATATATACGACTAGTTTTGATAAACTTGGCGAGAATAACTTATAGGCTAATCCAAGGATAAAGCTATATGCTGAGAAGAGCCTTCAAGGGCTTGTCACCATTAACATATAACAAGTATTAGAAGAGCAGCTTGTATGTGGCATTACGGGATAGGCCGCGCGATCGTTTATTACGTTAATATTGGTAGCCCAATGGAACAACGGCTGACCAAGATCGGCCGGAGGGCGGCAAAAAAGACATTGCCCGCCTGGGCAAATGCTGAACAGATGCCCTACAGAGTATCAGGGTATGCAACCGCTCTTAAGAAAGACGGTATGGCAACTTGACCACGTCTCCTCGGTGAACGCTCCCTCATTCTTCCCATATCACCACCATCTCTTGACTTATTCCTACTCTTTCTCTCCCTTTTTCTCATCCGCCACATTGTCCTGCTCTTAGTATGCAGGTCATCCAGCTCCCCACTAGGCCTTAAATAAGACCTGGATCAGACAGCTTAAAGGGCTACCAACATGAATTGAAGGGCGCAAAATCGCGTCCAGCTTGGTCGGAACCTCTTTAATGTGGAATTGAAGTCTGCTGCTGGTTAAAGAAAAAGCAGAACTGGAGATTCAAGTTTCGACGTGTACTGAGAATCTCCCAACCTGATCGGGCATTCTGTGTCTCAAATTTATCTACAAGCACCAGCGACCACTGGTGGGGAATCTCGTGTCTTCAGTCGAGCACAGCACAACCCTACCTGGTCACTACCGTAGAGCTGATCACGAGACCTTAAATTGGTGTTCTTGTCGGACAATTTGCCCACTTCAGACCCACCGGGCACGTGAATACCCGTTTCGTCCATTCCGCTTGGTTACCTCATGGTTGCGGGATCTCCTATCGAGAAAGCTTGAAATGTCATCAAGTGCCGCGCACGGTACTGTATCCAGCCATTTCTGAGTGCGATTTATCCAACAAAATGCTCAGGTGCACATGATGACCGTTATAAGAAGGGCAGAACCCCCATATCCCATTGGATTGACCCTGCATGTCCAGGCATTCGCTGGTTACTTTGAGGCCGTCAATCCAGAATGGGCCGACTGGGAGGAAACCATACGCGTGGGCATAGGCAGAGGAACGGTGCCGTGGGACCGCGCAGCTGGTCAATGGGCGAGACACACAGGTAATAGACAAAGTTTAGGAAAAAAAAAAACATCCACGTTCGTTGCACGACAGAGTGAGTTTTCTGCCGGTCAAAACGCCGTGGGCTAGTTCCTCGCCCAGAGCGGTCAAATGTCAACAGGACTACAGAAAATTTGATGTTTTCCCTATTTGGGGTCGAATTGCCAATCAGACTCCATGCAACCAGTTCATATTGCCCCAACGAGCAAAACTGCCCTTTTAGTTGAAGGCGCGGTCCGGAACCGACGTGACCCTGACAGGCCAGCACCCTCTCATTTGACCAAGGTCCATTGCATTGGTGATTGTGTCTTTGACAGCATCGAACAGGAGCAGAATTTCGAGGTCACTTGGACGTATACGAAAATTCCTGCTGTCGACCAGAATGATTAGAGTTGTCATATCGGCAGGTGGCCCACCTGAAATTTCCCCGCGAAGGGGAACTGAAGAGGACCATAGCAAAAACTTTTGCTAGAGGTCAATCTCTAGCTGATCTTTCGAGATCTTCAATTTGCCCACCTGCTTGCCCCCGGGATCGGTAACTCATTTCAAAGACAAGGAGTGGCTTAACATGAGGACGGCTAATCTGCAGCGCAGCGACAAGACATTACCCTGACAGAAACCCCTGGCGGTTCACTGTTACCTTCTTTTTATATGATTCCTGAATTGCAGACTTGGAATCGGCCAGCATCCTATTTACGCTTACGCAATCCGAAGATATCTTAGTTACGTATGCCCCTATCATGCTCTCAGCCCCCATCGGTTGGTATGGAATGCATTTTACGGTCGTCCAATATTATACCTCCGGCTGAGTCGCCGTCTCTCCTCTCTTTCCGCGCATGGAGTATACCTGCGGCAACCTCAAACATGCCGCCCGCAGATCCGGTAGTGAATGTCTTTACTTCGATCACGCGAATGAATGTTTTCGGATGAACATAAGGTCAAGGGACGGGCGGGAGCCGAATGCTCTACGCGGGCTGAGAGTATTTTTCGGACAAACCCATCGATGCCAGAAGAATCCTGGATCCATTGCATTTGCTGAGACATCTCTTGCGGGTTTTAGTACGAGAGTATCACTGGGTTCTTCTTTAGGATGCCGTAAAAGGATGAAGGTCATATTTTAGATAGCCTGTATTATTTTACTGTTTCACCTGCTTGCACCAAGGGTTCCTTTATCGCATCCATCGACGAATTTTCCGTATTCTGATATCTGGGAAACGCAAGCCAGGGATTTCAGCCCCAATCGTTACGGGCCGCGTGCAGGCTAGTTAACCTGATTGCACTTGATTTGACAACTTCCAACGTCGATCACATTATACTGCCACAGGACTGTCAAGGTTACACTCAGCTCCTGGTCGGTCCATGCCTAGAACCATGGTGTCGGCGTTAGCGCTTATTTGGAGCTCGTGTGAAAGCAGTCCCAGGCCATTGACCTGCGAATAAGCCCCGTCCCATAGCATTCCAAACACAGCTGCCATTGCCCTTAGAGAGGTGCTGATCCGTATTTATCCAGTCTTGAAACTAAAGTTGGGTAAGTTTTATCTATAATGCGCTACCGTGCAATGTCCTACGAGACTTCGAGCTGACGGAGAGCTATGATAAGCTGGAAGAACACATGAGTCAAGAGAAGGAAAATCAGTGCCTGCACAGAGAGTTAGGTGCATCCAGGAGAGGTTTTCGACCCTCACAACAAAGCCCGTCGGTCAGATCTGTTCTTCGAGAATATAGTAGAACATTGGTCATCCCAAGCGGGGAGGATAGCAATGGGACAGTCCTGCGTTACATCGCCCGGAAATTACTGTCTTGTACCGCGCTAATATACCAGCTGCTGGAGAGCGAGAGCAATCTGCTCTGTTGATCCCGAGGGAAAGGGATCAGTTGTCAAAAGGAACTCCCACAATAGACTCATCCGACCGTCTGCGGCGTTGGCGGTTGGACAAATCAGCTGTGCAGTTGATCAGAGATACTTCTCTGGGTTGGGTGAAGTGGGTCTCCACGTCCGCGAGTGAGACGCGAGGTGTCTGTCCCCGCCCCTCCCCCTGCTGAATATCCTCAACCGATGCTGTACTCTGTGCCCATCGAAGCTCCAGCGTGTGTTTAGGCTATTCCGTCACAGGGTGATCGGCATATCCTTGTGTGACATGGAAGCTGAATCGCAGTTAGCGCTGCCTTGCGACGGAACAAGTTCGTGACCAGTCTATTACCATTTATCTTCTCAAACCCATTTTCAGATTAGTCCTGTGGGAAGGGTGCATTGCGTGAGACCTTTGTTTTCCCCAATACCACACTACCCCATGCAGTTACCACAGTCGCGCTGCCCGTCTCCCCGCCCCCTTCAGGGTTACCTGATAGAGTGGGAATGGAGGCCTTGATGCCACGCAACGTCATAACAACGCCCATAACTCTCAACGCCAAGTTCTCTGGAGCACTTTGCGTGTCTGCATCCGATTTTGGAGCCAGTACTGCAGCATGGTGGTTCCTACGGAAGGATCTCGGTAGGCTGGAACTGAGCCAGTGGAGTCTCTAGATCTGCTTGATTTTCCTTGTCTTGCTGTATAGCCTTCTGGGCTTTTTTAGGCAGAGCTTTTTCTCTTACTTTCTTTCTATCTCTCTCTGCCCCCCTTTCTTTTTCCCGCCGTAGGCTAGTTGCTTCGTTGGATGTTTGCTCTTTCGGAGTTGTGTATCGTAGCTATCCTGTCGTTCTTCTCCTTCTATTGTCCTTGGCCAGAATAGTAGAATCTGTGGCCTGCCTAAACCCTGAGGAATATCGCGCTACATGATGGTCCTTTTTTTGGGACCAGGTGGCACGAATGTCCAATCTAGCTTCAACCTCTCTTCATCAGCCATGTCTTCAACACCCGAGCAGACCCTATTAGACAGTTCCATCTTTCGGCCCGATTTACCAGCTGAACAGCTAAGACGAAGCAAGCAATTGCTGCTTGCTGACATTGAAATCATGCAGAATATCGCGGGCAAGGCTCAACCAGTAACCGGCAGGTACTGATTCCTCAACATCCTCCATTCACCAGCAGGTAATCCAACGTACCCGGACCCATCGACGGCTCCCCTTGATATGCCTTGATCTTGGATATCTCACTGCGGTGCTATCTTCCTTCCTTGATACAGTAGTCGAGTGGCGTATCCCCCAATCCTGCGGCAACTAGCGCAGGCCTTGTAGTATTCCGGGAGCGCAGTGCTTCTGCACCCGTAATGAATCATACGGTTTGCTTGGGGTTGGATTTCCACAAACCAGTAATTATTATTTTCGTCAACCATTATCGATAAAGCAGGAGCAGTGTGGGCACTCCCTCAATCCTCAAAGCTCCGCGCATCTCCCTATGCAAGTTTCAGGAGTGTTTTTGTATTGCCGCCAACTTGCATGCAAAGTACTCCACTGTCGCCTCCCCGATCGGCTGGTCAGCGCCCATCAACTCTCGGAGTAGAGCCAGGACGTAACCCCCCTCGAACGTAGCCTATGCGGTTGGAAAGCTATCCAATCTGGATATCTGCTCAAACAACTCAGGCTCCGAATCCTTGTCCTCTGGGCCAGTGGCAATGTCGTCCACATTGGTCGCAATTCTGGTTGACGTTGAAGCACTGGAAGCAGATAGTCCTGCGGAGACCTCGCTCTCATCAAGATGATCATACAGGTCAGGTGTGACAGACACCAGCCCATTCAAGCTTTGGGAAAAGTCATTGCTCAGGTCTGCAATGGAAGTCCCCAGACCTGCGGGCAAGTCAGGACAGCCCATTGGAACTAACTCAGCCAACCATGTCTCCCAGAACTCAGACGACGTATATGGTTGTAAGTCCGTGCTCATACTGATATCCAGCGGAGGAGTCAACTGTGATAGCAGCGAAAGATCATCCCTTGGCGTAAGTGAGTCCAGACCCGAGTCTTCCATATTGTCAGCCATTGCCATCAATGTCCCGAAGCCCTGCGGTTGGGAGTTCTGAGGCGCCAAGTTTAGATTGTCAATAAGAATATTTCCATAGAAGTCTTCTGGAAAGATAGCCGCAAGGTCGCTAGGTGAAACAGCCATGTTCAGGAAATCTGTCTCCACTTGGCCCGTCTGAAGACCATCCACTCGATCTAGAGGGCTCTTTGCGCGTGCGGTCGCGTGCTCCGCGCCATCTCTCTCCATATATGATGGATAAGCGGGCGATGGCATATCAACGCTATTGTACGTAGACGAGGTGATCGAGCGGGATGGCAGCAACTCGTCCTCGTCGCCGTGGCGAAGTAGGTTTGAGACATAACGGATAACCTGGCGAAGGTTGGTCGAATCATGCCCTCCTTGTGCTGATATCGGCCAAACCACGTTAATCAACTCGAGCTAGAGAACGTTTAGTCTGGGAATTGATCTAATGTTATGAAGAATATCAGTTACCACAGATTCGGTCACATTTTCCCGAGTTTCCCGGTCGTTATGCAGTTCATCCAGAGCTCGGTTGAAAGCCCGCTGTGATTAAATTAGTGATATTCACAACATCCAATGTAGCTGCAGCTCACCGCTTTCTCCTCGACTTCTTGCTTCAGTTCAGCCTGCATTGTCTCCTGAATTGCTAAAGTCTGGCTTCAGGGAGCAGGTTCCCGGTACCAGATGTCTCGAAGCTCAGTTAGGAAAAAGCAGTCATTAAAAAGACGTTATGATGAACGGCGGGGGAAAGTATGTTGCCGCACGGTCGTTGACCGGGAGATACGGTTCGTCTCACAAGGCGTGAGGACCCCTGTCAAAGCAATCCAATAGTGCAATCCTATTCATCGGTACTTTCTCCTATCGAACAGGGAAGGGATTCAACGGTTCTGACTCAGAGATGCCTCCTCCCACGAGAGTTAGAGATAGACGGGTTTTTTTTTTTTTTTTTTTTCTTTTTTCGGTTGCGTATCAATCATTTGCAGTGTTTTCTGACAATCCAGGGGTCCTATATGATTTAACACCGTTGAGTTGAAGAGAACCGAGGATCGCCAGCGTTATCTGGCCTTATTAGGTGCAGCCGTCAGTCTAATGCTTGTCAGCTTTCCAACTAAAGTGACCCCATATTATTTCGAGATCGATGTGTCTGGCTCTTACAACCCATCAGACAATCCGAATCCCACCGGGCTGACTGTCTTTGCATGTCTGGGCGCCATCAGAGCGATGTACTGGACTATCACAAACGCACTCAAGCTTTGTCTGACTCAATGCCACTACAGGGCCAATTTAGACTTCTCATGAAGTGTCGTCTGCAGGCAAGGACAAATTTTCGGGACCGGTTCATCTTTTCTTGCTAGTAGAGACGAGTCGATCGCTCCAACAGGCGGAGGTTAAGATCAGCCCGTAAGCACGCACTTTCAAAGCAACCTGCCAAGACGAGGAAGGGATTTTGACCGGGTGATGTGGGTCTCTCCAATCAGAGATCATAGGCATTTCGTAGACCTCAAATCGCGGGTTGGGTTCCGACCCCCAACCCAAAAACCCGCCAAGAGAAATAAATGACGGTAATATATACGCAAATTACATATATATTCCTATGACAGATCCAATATTTCGTATGTATTTCTGTAATATATGAGGTTGTTGGTTCTTGGCGGGTTTCCGGGTAAACCCAAGGGTACCCAAAAAGCAATATGGCGAGGTCTAGCATTCTGGGAAGCCTTTAAGCCAGGTGATCTACTCCCGTAGGCTCACCGACTTCTCAGGACCTCCATCGGAGGACCCACAGCAATATAAAGGGCGGGAGAGGGGTTCGAGGAAAAGAAGCGTTGCGCTCTGCGATCAATCCAGTTGCAGTTGTATTTCCTATCTATTCTACGGAGTACCGTACACGAGATGCAGGGTCTGAATTGTCACGATAATTATGTTGACTGAAGATAACGGGTTCATACTCCATGAGTGCGCAGAGACGTTGCCGCCCTGCAAACCGAGCCACCGTTAGATAGAATAAACGCGCTTCAAGTAGCCAAGGTATGTCCGGAATTTGCACTAGCCTCTCTATTGTTCCTTGTATCGCATGCTTTGCATTTCGTGCGTGGTGGTAGTTAATCACAGTAATCCAGGGTATCCATAGAATCGGTCACATGTCGGCTGACGGGGTGGCGGTGAAGACCGTAACGT